ATTTCTCGTACGGTTGCAACTCGGGGGGCGTTTCCTCGCTCATCCATGGATAGTATCCACTGGGTAAGAGTTATTTCTTCAGTAACAGACAGTTTTCGATTCCTTTCCTGCGCATGCTCTCGCGTCGTACGGCCTTTCAATCGATCGTGTAATGTGGAATGGGGAACATCATATAACACAGAAGCTTTTCGCAGACTTGAGACTTGGCCCTTCTTATATGCTTGAAGAGCCAAAAGAATCTTTCCTTCCTGATTGGAAGCTTGTGGGAGTCTTGAGGTAGGCATTTTTGTTGATGGGAGTGGAGGCGCGTAAGCGTGGTGAGAAGTGTCCGACTAGGTCATTTGTCCGACTAGGTTATAGATTACGTTAGTTAACTGGTATATAAGGTAATAATTTCTATTATTTAATATAATGCCCAACTGAGCGACCACTTTCCGAATTCGCTGGATATTGAAGCTTTTCAAACGAGCAAAAACGCATAAAATTAGATAGATTCCGCTCTTTAGGCCTCTGCGGACATGTATTTCTTCTATGCCCTACAATTCCACATTCACTACACTGGCAGAGCGTAACCATGCTCCTGTGCAGCTGCTACAGCCTCATTTTCTGCTTTTGCAAACAAGTGAGATGTCAAGCTTCTTGGACTATCAAAAAACCTGTACGAGATAGGTTCTTCATAGACGTCTTGCAATTTTGCATAATCTTTATAGGTATAGCCCATAGGTTGCGGTATCCTTTGCAAGAAGACCTGCATTATGCATTGCCAATTGGCAGCCCTTTATTAGCTGATTTCTATATACGCTGTTTTAGTAGTGCCTTAATTGTTGGAAACTATAGTTGCAATTCCATAATGTTAGGAGGTGTCTGGTACGTAATTGGCCTTTGAATTGCTGTGACTGCCACTACAAACTACAACAGAAATGGCATCAGTCCAGAGGACTGCTGTAGTACTTGTTCGACATAGCAGAAAACTAATGGATAGAATATCATGTTATTCGCCTGGGTGGATCACTTATTGGGGAGATATAAGTTCCACTGTCCAAGATCTACAAACGGACAGACTTGGTATAGAGCTAGATGCGCATTAGCAGTGGCTTGGTAAATATAAATGTGAAGTCATGTGTAAATAACTTATCTGAAGTGTCTTGAAGCCTAGAGAAATTCAATGTGTTAGGACAGCAGTGTGTAGAGGAACAACTTGGCGTGCTTATTGATTCTGAAATCTCTACTATTGACCCTCTGCTAGAGAAACCTCTGGCAGTGTCTGTTAGAACTGGTTCTCAGAAAGATAGCCCTGTACTCAATAGCTCAAGGCAATGTGGGATCTAGAAGGATGGATCCATCTATACACTATGGCATATATTTCATAGCGTTAACGGTGGAGAAATAACCTTGGGACCTAGTGCCCTCTACTTTGACATAAGTTGAATAAAAAGGAACTACTACTAGATAAGTAAGGAAGATTTTACGGATTCACTAAAGGTTGCAATTCCGGAAAAGTGCCTTATTTTGTCGTGTTTATATTCTGAACTCGAATTGATTCCTGTCTGTAATGGAGTTTAGTACTCTATAGTAAGTTGAACTGTGGGCATCTGGCGTATAAGGCTCTAATACACCACCAGATATCTGGGTTTCTACTACGGGATAGTATTGGTTCCCTGTTCCTACTAGAAATGAAGGTCTAAGTAGGTATGTACAGACGCTAAATGTCATACTTTGGTTAGGCCAATCATAGGAAAAGGAAGTATGCTGATCTTCAGTAACCTTACAGTAAACCACGGGTCATACACACGGTCTGACAAAGTCGCCAGTTGAAATTCCTGGGTTGGTCATTTCAAGAGATCAATCATTATAAACACTAAAAACACCGAGTGTTCACTGAAGCCTCTCGCTGCTTAGTATGCCAAGAGATTGGAGTTAATACGGATCTAGATTTGGAGTTTGGGACTGGGAATCGTTATTTCATCCTTCTGTCGCGATAATGGCTTCGTTACTGTCCAGTCTGTTCTCTAGCTAGGATTAGGACAGATACTAATGTAAAACTACCAGTAACTGTCAGCGAAGAACGAGGAGGCATGCTGTTTCTCCTACTCGTACTGTCTATACAACATCGCAGCCAACTAGCCAGCTTTGATCATTCATCACCTCCCTCACTCATGATAATCCGCACCTACTCCACCCTGACAATCTTCCCCGTCTCGACCTCGTACAGGTACCCGGTAATCGGCACATCCAGGATAAGCGGGTTCTGCTTGAGGATCTCAATATCATCGAGGACACTCTGGCGCAGGTCCTTAAAGGGCAAGAAGGCGATATGGTCAGCATTCTGCTTCAGCTCGGACCGGATTTTGTCGCGGATGACGTCGTCAGTGAAGGTGAGCATGCCGCAGTCGGTCTGCCGGAGACAGTCAGTATGATCAATCGATGTGTATACATAGCTCTGTGTAACGTACGTGGTGCAGGATGACTATCTCCCGAGTGCCCAGCAGTTGCTGCGAGATGACCAGACTGCGAATTGCGTCGGTGACTCGACCTCCAGCGTTGCGGATGACGTGGGCGTCGCCTTCCTCAAGGCCTAGGGCGCGAGCTGGGTCTGAAGTACGTATGTTAGGAAATACCACAAGAAGAGGACAGAGAGAATAGTTTCATCGCTGAGCCGTACCGAGTCGAGCGTCCATGCAGGCCACCACAGCGACTTTCCTGCACGTGCAGTAACATCAGTCATAAATTCGAACGGTACCCTGTTATAGCTGATGGAAAGACTCGACTCACCGTGCCGGAGGCAGAGGCAGATTGCCCTTGGTAAAGGACGCCGCGTACTTGGCATTGGCGGCCTCGAATTCGCGCGCAACCGACATGTCGATAGATAAGACAGCTTCTAGTTGGATGAAAGTAGACTAAAGCGAGGACCTTGATAGATAAGCTTATGGAGATGTACAGATAAAAATTATACTGTACAAGTGAAACCACTGGATCGAGTGGGCGAGTGACAGAGAACAAGGTACTCGTCGTACAATAGCATAGCATTGATACATGTATTTATCTCTTTATGAACGACCCCTCACCCCTCATCTGGATGTATTTGGTCAACAGCAATGGGATCATGTCTGGACGATTGCGTGATATCGATGCTGGATTGCTCGTGCGGAGAACCGCCACTCGATTCGCGCCATCCAACCGAACCGCACGAGCGGAACTCGACATGATCGTCGTTCTGTGAGGAGATTGTATTAGTGTGAGTATTATGTATGCAGGGACTGTAGTCTTGCATGATGTGTTGCATGGCTAGCCTAGCAATGAGGGGGTTGGAAGGATGAGGTGTATACTGACGTCCTGCTCTGATCAACGAGTGCCATATGCTTATCATTACCTTGACGAATCATCTGATTATTCCTGCAAATATATAGAACCTTCGTGTTGTTCCGAGAGGTGTGATCTATTTGCAACTTGCTCAAATGCATGTCCTTTTCTATATTCGTATGATTTTCCGATTTCTCCATTTTCATCCGGGCTTTCTCGGAGGGATTACGCCTCAATACATATAATAATCGAACTAAGATTAACTCCCAGCTCATTTTTTTAATGCTTACTAAAATTAGCTTAATGTGTCTAATTTTCTCGCAATATGTGTCGAGTTTTTTTTTTTTAGTAGTTCTTTGTCAACCCTAGGTATGGAAATAAAAGTTAGGACGAATTACTTCAAAAGCGCACCCTCTTTTATCTATATCAAGATTTAATGAGGAAATTCAGAGAGGAGACAACTAGAAACATTGATTGTTTAATAACCATCACGATTTATCCATTATTGTTCTATTTGCTTTGAATTCTTGCTGTGACTGTCTACAGGAGATTTCCTCTGGCATCACGTCCCTACTATGAAGATTAGTCCACGTCAAAGGTATAATCGGGGATATGCAGGAAGATGAGTTTCTCCTTCTATACTGTTGACCTGGTGAAAAATGGCAATTCTACGGTAGCGGGTTAATTGTTCTTGCTTTTAAACTCCTGCTGCTTCCGCAGCGCCTCGGCCAACAGATCCGGATACCACCGCTGCGCGACATCCTGATGGCTCGTGATGCGCGCGATGAACGTGCCCTCGCCGATGTTGCCCTGGAACATCTTGTTGAACGTGGCCTCGGCGTCGGACCTCACCTTGTCGTCCTTGACCAGGTCGCGGATGTGCGGTGGGATGTCCAGCTTCAGCTTCTCGGCGGACAGGTCCAGACTGACTCCCTGGAAGACGGCGAACGAGTACCGCGGGCCCAGCGAGTTGCCGTTGGCGTCGACGTAGTTCTCCTTCTTCAGGCTCACGCGGTGCGTCGTCGCCGTGCAGACGCCGCCAGTCAGCGCCTCGAGCGCGCGGCCAATGTTGATCACCAGCGTGCCCGGGATAGGCGTCACGGGCAGCCAGACACCGGCCTTGTTCTGGACCTCGAGCCCCGTATGCGGCGTGCCCTGCAGGAGGAAGGTGAGGAAACACGAATCCTTGTGTGGGCCAACGCCCTGCGTCTGGTCGTCCGACTGCGGCTCCGGGTATTTGATCAGCTTGAGCTTGTGCTGCTGCGGATACTCGAAGAACTGGTCAAAGGCCGTTGGGGGGAGGTCCAGTGCTTCGGCGACGAGGCTCTTGAACGATTCAGCGAGGGCGTCGACTGCAGAGAGATACGCTTCGACGGCGGGGCGGAAGCCAGGGAGAGCTTCGGGGTCCGGCCACTACGGAGTAATAGATGTATTAGTTTTTTTTTCTTCCGAGCATAATAAGGAAATAAAGAGAATACCCACCTGATTCGGACCCCGCAGATTGCGATACACCGGCTCATCAGGCCCCGGGGGCGGAAGCTCCGTCGCAAACTGCAGCCGTCAGCAAAGAAACCATCTACTCTCTAGAATTCAGACGTACGTCAAACTGCTCGCGGTAGTCCGACTTCAGCGCCGTCACTTCGGCCCCCAGTCTGGCATACCCCAGGAAGTGCTTGCTGTTGACCATCTCGATCTCCAGCTTCTTCTCCAAGGGCAGATTGAACAGCGCGATCGACTGCTCCACCAGCGCGTCCTGGACGTCCGGCGGAATGGAGGCGTTTTTCAGGTAGAAGAAGCCGACGCGGACGATGGCATCGCGCAGGGCTGCAAGAAACGCGGGTCTCGTCGAGGGGTTAGTGGCTTGCGAATAGTCTAGAATCGGGATGGACGTGAAGGCGTCAGAGGGGCGGCCACGATTTGCCTGGGACTGTCAGCCTGGAACGGTCTTGCATCCGGACAAAAATGGCACTGCATACCACTCGCTCGACAAACTGCCTCCGCAAGTCGAACAGTTTGGACGCGTTGATGGAGAACTCGTAGTTATGGCCGCCGCCGGGCAGCAACTTGGCCTCGACTTCAGGCGCACTGGTGAACCGCTTGACCAGATTGTCGAATTTGGGCTGTGCCTCGGTGATATTACTCCAGATAAGCTCGGTCTCAGCGGCGAGGAACTGGACGGGGACCTGCTTTGGTCAGCGTTTGCGGCATTCTTTCTCGAATCCAGCACTGGTCGGATTTACCTTGATACTGGGGAAGACCTTGTTCAGGAGATAATCATAGTAGTTCCGGCTTTCGTACTCACGGATTTCCGATTTGAGACCTGCGCTGTCAGTCCATTAATCGATGCGAATGACTCTGACGAGCTTACCTGGCTCGAAGACGGCTGCGGCGAGTTCGCCGCTCAACGCGTCCACGTTGACAGACTCGAGGTTGCCGAGGAAGCGCGTCAAGTTCTCTGCCGACTGGCTAAAGACGAAACGAGGGTTTGCTGGGTCAGGATCAGGCTCTGGGATGAGATTCAGACGCTCTGTCGAGGGCAGCGTGCCCAGGGTGCTGACGCCCAGAACCGGCAGTCGAGCGCCTGCTTCGGCAGCGATGACCAGCGAGAGGGCGCCGCCTAGCGAGTGGCCGATCAGCACGATGCCTTGCTGTCCGCCAGTCTTCTCGCGGTAGACGAGGTCGATCAGATCGATGAGGCCCAGCAGCGAGTCGGCCAGGGGGGTGGTAGTCGCGGGGGTGGGCGTGCCACCATAGCTGGGGCGGTTGATGTTCAGGACATTGTATCCGAGGTCGCTGAAGCCTTTCGCGACGCTGAGAACGGTCAGTATTTCGCCATAGTATGGAAAAGCATGGTGCATACGAATGGCACGAGTTGTCGAAATACGCCGCCGACGTCCCGCCGCCGTGGAGGAGGACGACCAAGGGCTTGTCTGCCTGGCCGCGCTTGAACAGACCAGCGAACTCGAGGCCGTCCTTGGAGAAGGGGATTTTCTCGTCAAACGTCTGCGCCATGGATATCCTGCAGCGAGTCAGCAGAAGTCAAGGAGAAGAAAGAACAGCTGAGAAGCAGACTCGCGTGGGAGCCTGACTGACTGTTAGTAACCCCGCATTGAGTCTTAGTTAAGCGTTGCAGAGATATCGGATCTGTCCCACTGCATATGATTATTCTTAGCTACTGGCTGGTTAATTAGCTAGCTGACGATCCACCGGCGCGATTGCGAGCTTTTAAGCTCGGATTCCGAATGCAGACCATGTTATGGTTGGCGGATCAGATCCACAACTAAGTCAGAAGAATGTTGATTCTGATCGGATTGATGATGTTATCGCCAAAGTTATTGATAGCAATGTTGTTAATGATTCTAGATTCAAATTTAGCAATCTATCGACGCAGGAAAAAATTCCTAGAAAGGCTTGAAATACAGGTAAACGACTAAGGATTTTGGCAAAAAATACTACTAATAAGAAATAAGAATTCGATTTTCTTTCTCTTCTAGTGGGAAATTCTGACAAATCTATATTAAATTCAAAGTTAGGCGGGGAAATCATCTGTCCAGTGCTTGTGTTTCAGGCGATCACTTCACACCCTGTCTGAATGAGCCTACAATATATTCGCACTTCATTAAATTGGCTCCATAGGAACCCCTTCTATGCGGATATATGACTTCTACTATCACACCTCACTGCCAACTAGCTGGCTGGCGACGTTCACTCTCTCGCCAGATTTATGCACATCGGAACTCCCCTCGCTGCTCACTTCGATCGGCTGTCGGCCAATAACCCCCCTGGCCGTATCGCGCTTCTCCAGATACGCAATCAGCAGGATGAACGGCAGCGTCAAGGCCCCCGTCACCAGGCTGGCGATGTAGCCCTTGCGGAAGTTGGGCGCATCCGTCACCGGATAGAAGATCAGCGGCCACCAGGTCACAAAGGCAAAGTCGAACGAGTTCATGAACCCGGTCGTGATGGCGCGCAGCTGCACGTCGTGGCTCGTCACGTCCGCCATCCACGAGTACCAGATGGCCTGCGGCGCGTACGTCGTGCCCAGCAGGTAGAAGGCGAAGAAGTAGCCGGCGTCGGAGGGCGGGTTGCTGACCAGGATGGCGCTGCCCACGACGAACGTCAGGCCGACGGCGACGGAGCATTCCCAGCGCGAGCCCAGCCGGTCGGAAATGACCGAGTAGACCACCGTGCCGACGATGGCGGTGGCGTAGACGCCGGTGGGATAGTTGTTCTGCTGGACGACGCTGTACCCGCGAGACGCCATCCACAGCTGCATGACGTTGTTGCCCAGGGACTGGACACACAGCGAGTAAACTAGAGAGGCAGAGAGTCAGAAATACGTCCAGATAAATACTTTTGGTCGACTCACGCATGAAGATCAGCGGCAGCAGATAGAATTGCCAGCTCAGAAACACCCGCTTGAACACGGTTAGATCCCACGACTGCTTGGGCGTGCAACCCAGGCGTGTGGCTGCGTGTTCCTTCTGCTCGTCAGTGAGATACCAAGCTGCGCGATGAGCAGGGAGATCGGGGATAAACACCCATCCTGAAGCAGTCAGTCAGCAAAAGCCCAATTCTGGGGTGCATGTTCTTACCGAACAGGGCGATAGGCAGCGTCATCACGGACACAATGATGAAGATCCATTTCCACGCCGGCAGCCCTCCTCTTCCTGCCAGCGTCTGCAGCAAGCCGGCCTGGATCCAGCCGCCGGCCATGCTGCCCAGCTGGCCGAAGCAGCAGAACACGGCGGCGCGAGTGCCCAGTTCCGACTTTTTGTACCACGAGCCGAGGATGAATTGCGCACCGACGCTGGACGAGTCAGCATGAAGACTGAAGTAGGTGACGAAGGGAACAGACTATGCAATGGCGGAGAAAGCGCCCTCAATACCATTCAGCAGGATGACCTGCCACGCGCGGGTCGTCTTGTACGTGACGAGCGTGAGAACACTCCAGGTGACGTTTGCAGCCACAAAGACGTATTTCGGCCGGGCGATAGTCAGCAGACTGGTCCCGGGCATCTGGCACACGGCGTAGGTGATCAGATACACCGTGTTCATGTAGTTGTAGTCCTTGCCCTCGAAGCCCAGCGCTTCTTTCATGCCGCTGATGTACGCGGACGAGTAGCTGGCGCGCGTCACGCCGAACAGGAACCAGATGAGCGAGAAATAGGGCAGCAGCGTGAAGTCGAGCTTGGCCAGCAGCGCGCGGTCTTTGGGGTCAGCGCCCCAGAGCCGGAGGGCGAGGTTGGATGCCATTAGACAGGAATTATTTTGCTGCGTTGTTCAGGCTGATATATTCCCTGAACATCGACGGAGGATAAGCCCGTCGTATATCGGTAATGCAACGCTATCCCTCAGCAGCAGCAGGGCAAATCGTTCCCCGAAGACCCATGCAGCTGGCTTCTGTCAAGCAAGATAAAACTCAAGATAAAATTATACCAAGAGAATAATCTCTTGGTAGATCGTCAAACTGAAGAATGCGAATAAAGTTAGCAATATTAATAATATTTCTAGCTGCAGCATTGTGTTCTGTCTGATGGTCTAGAGCCCGCTAACGAAGAATTAGAGCGTTGCGAAATCCTCGACGCGAATGGCGTAAATGTATCCTGCAGGCCGCGGTCGAGAGATAAGGCTCTTGCTCGTCAATGGCGTGCTGGAGAGTGTTCGCGCGCTATCTCGGAGAATATACAGACAGTCCTGACGGAAAAGAGGAATTTTCCGACCTTGAAGGAAAAAAAAAGGACTTTTTGATGATGTATTTCTCGGCAAAATTATGCAGAGACTCTGAGAGACTCTGTTGTTGTTTACTGGTGATAGTGAAGATGGTTACTTTACTGTTAGCTTAGTTGTGGGGTACAAAAATAATATATGTTAGAGGTGAATTTTTTTTTGTTTTTGCTTGGAATTCCTTTAAATCCATTGAAGAAAGTTTTATACACAACTTTTTTTTTTTTCAGCCATGACCATTGTCCCTGGAAATGTAAAATGGTCCTGTATTGTTTGCTTTGAAAGGTTAAATATTTTTTTTTCAACGACGAATCAAGCATTCTCGATTACAAAATAAAACTCGTAGCATATAGATCCGCCTTATTCCAAGCCTATCATTCAAGATATAACCAATAATTATTTTCTTTTTCTAATCCTACCCGACAATAATAGCCATCTGCTGTTTATCATACTATTTTCTTCTCATCACAGTTGAATCTTATCACATTCTTACAGGCTAGAATATCAGACTTATACAACGAGAATCTACTCTTCGTCAGTGCAGGCTATTAATTCTAGACCAGAGTCTCAGCAATGACGACGATTAGTGGGGATGAGGGAAAAGAACCCACGCCAATAATTCGTCGCTTCGACCCAGACCATCTCCATCGTCCACGGGGTACTCCGTACAGGGGAATTTAGTTCAGTAGTCTATCTACAATCGACTAGCTGTTCGCCGTCCTCTCTATCTCAACCGTTCTATCCACACGGATCCATCCATCTGATTCTGACAGGACAGCTCTGGCAAACTCCGAAGATTAAATCAGGCCAACGTGTATGAAATCTACACGTGGAACAAGCCCCACTGCGAGTTCTGCGGGGCAGTCAGGATCATAATAACCATCATGGCTACAAAGTAGAGGGTGACAAAAGATCTAGCACAGCTGCTGTGCTGAATAATTTTTTTCTACCACTTTTGATGTCGAGTCTGGACGGAGTGGAGAATCTACCAGTCGATCACCATTGCAATTAGCGCAAAAGACAGGAATATTGTCTGGTTGACACGACATGGCAGAGAACGGACAGCAATTGCGGTTCGAGAGTCTGTCCATTCATGCGGGGTAAATACATCTCACTGGTAACTTGGTCTATGGCTAATGCGAGGCAATCGTCGCTCACTCAGACAAGATGTCTATTCGGGAACAGGCGCTGTCACTGTCCCTGTTTTCGCTTCTACTGTAATTCCAAACTACCCTTGACCAATGATCCGTGAATTCTGTGAGCTGACTAGCTCTGATTACGTTGCAGTCCTTCGTCTTCAACAGCAGTGCCCATGGAGCAGACATTTTTGCTGGGCGAGAGGAGGCGTATGCTTACAGTCGGCTGGCGAACGTACGCATTCAGATTCGTTTCAATGAGAAATACATGCTGACATGACGGCAAGCCCACCGTCGCGGTCTTCGAACAACGGATAGCCGCGCTGGAAGGCGGAGTGTCTGCCCTTGCTGCGTCGTCAGTAGAGATCCATCTTCCTGACTTGTTCTACTGACGATCGGCTGGCTGACGGTTGGAAGCTCCGGACAAGCAGCCCGATGGATGGCCATTGCCGGGCTGGCCGCTGCCAGTGACAACATTGTTTCCGCGTCGACGATCTCTGAAGAAGCATATACGCAGTTCCGATACCGTTTCCCCAGCCAGGGCATATCAGTCAAGTTTATTGACGTTGAGGATGCAGATGTCCTGCGAAATGCCATCGACGACAGAACAAAAGCCGTATACGTCGAGAGCGTGAGCAGTGTCGGGCTGTCCGTCGCTGATATCGAGGCCATATCAGCCATTGCGCATGAGGCAGGAGTACCGCTGGTGGTGTCAGCTCTCACCTCCACATCCTGTAATTGCTTCAATACATATCCTAACGCTTTGTAGGGACAACACCCCCGGAGCAGGAGGCTATCTCTGTCGACCGATCGACCACGGTGCCGACATCGTCATCCACTCTGCCTCCGAACGGCTCGGCGGATTAGGACACGCCATCGCAGGCGCCATTGTTGACAGCGGGAAATTCCCCTGGAACGTCCACGCGAGACGATTTCTGCATCTGACGGAACCTGCGCCGGGATACCACGGGATGAAGTTCTGGGAGAAATTCGGCGACAAGGCCTACATTTTCTACGTGCGAAGCGCGCTCTTGCGAGATGCAGGACCGTGTCTGAACCCTTTCGCTGCCTTCAGCCTGCTTGCGGGCATGGAAACGTTGTCGGTTAGGATGGACCGACATAGTGGGAATGCCCTCGCGTTGGCCAGATGGCTGGAGGGACATGAGAAGGTGGCGTGGGTGGTGTATCCTGGTACGTAGGACATATGCGATGCGGATAGATTTATTCTGATTGTGACAGGCCTCCCATCCCATCCCTCCTTTGAAAGAGCGAAACGATATCTCCGGAATGGATTCGGAGGACTTCTCTTCTTCAGACTAGCTGCTGGAGATGAAGCGTCGCAGGCTGCCATGCGAAAGTTCAAGCTGGTTCGGAATGCTGATGGGTTAGTTGCTTTCCCAAGCCTTATTGCGCGCGTTACTGATGAGACGTTTTCCGCGATTGATGGATAGCATCGGCACAACACAGTAAGTACAATCCTCGCGGTTTTGCTTTCATTGGTATATTCATAGCGACAATTCACTAACGCCAGTGTTGTCAGAACACTCGTTCATTACCATCGTGTAGCGACAGGATCATATGTCCAAGAAAGCCCTTCTCAGCAGAGCGACCATAATACAGCCGCCATGCGCGTATCGGTCGGACTCGAGCATATCGTAAGTTCTCGAACTTTAGCCGGTTAGTTGTGAATAAAGGAAGAAAGAAACTAATCGTTTCGACCTGTTTTGTTTCATTCAGGATGACATCATCGAGGATTTCAGGCAGGCTTTGGCATGCGTTTAGAATAGAGAACGGGGGAGATTGAAGGGCAGAGAAGCAATTAGCATACACATTTTCGATCTACAATCACAATGGACTGTCATACGTCAGATTTCGGGCTACTTTGAGACTTGTTAAGTCACATTACTCCCAAAAGAGGAAACAATGAAAAAAAAAAGAAAGATCAGGTGCGTTTGAGATACAGACACGACTCAGACGGGTATATCTAGTGGGAAATATACTGCTCATTTTACATCGTCGCTCAAGTATTTATTGCTATGAATCTCTTTTGTGCTGCACGTCGTGGAATGAACTTGCTTACCCTGGCTCATCGAATAAATCATTTTTCCTCTATGCACTTCGTTGTACGGCTTGTCATTATGGAATGGCGAATCCTACGTGGTACCTAGTTAATAGACTGACTGAGTTGATTTCAGGTTTTAAATGTTATAATCTTCGAATAACTGGGATTTCGTCTGAGCCTTACGCACTTATCAAGCTAGACATTTTGGTTACTGTATTTGTAGATGGTGATGACAAGAATTATGTGCATACTTAGCTGGACAATCGAGTGCAACACGGGATTAAAGACATACGGATTCTGGTATGGATTACCTTTTCCACCTTCTAGGTTTAGTTCAAAGGTTTTTTGTTTAAAAAAAAATGGGGGGATGCCAGAGCAGAGGCGTAATTCAACCTGGGCAGAGGGATGATTATTAAGAGAAAGCCTACCTGAACCCTAATTATTAGTTTGCATGCACAAGAGACTGCCGTATGCACCTACAACAAGTAGACTAGGAATTTAATTCTAGCCAGAGACCACGTGGATGCTAGTTTGCTTTGCACCGCTTCTTCTGGACACCGAGAAGGGTGCCCTGCCCTTATCATGGTCGTTCGGTGCGGCCACCTGGACGCCTGAGCTGAAAGAACTAGTGAGATGACATCAGAGAGAATATGCAATTATCTCAGCCCTACAATAAATCAATCAATAGAAAAAAAAAAGAAGAAGAAGAACAGGAGTAGTGACTTCCTTCCGGCTTAGCGCACATGTATTGGCAGACCCTACACCGATTATACTAATTGATTGAGATGGGGGAACAAAAGTATCCGATAGGCAGGAGAATAATAGTAATGAAAAAAGAATGCCTGGAAATACCGAATGTGCCTTGAGCCTGCCTAGCGGTGTATACCGTCCTCGACAGGTGTGAATGACTGAGCTGACCCAACTCTATTTCAGCCCTATGATTCTACGAGCGAGTAACACTTAAGCCATCAAAGCAATTACTCAAGCAGGGATACGAATGGTCTGGCTGGACTGTGACAGTCTCAATCTGCACCCAGAAATCCGGCTTCTCCGCTCCAAGAATCATCACCTTTGGGGTCGGATTTGCATGTGAATTGGCATTTCGTCTAGTAAGTGACGGTAGGAAAATGGCTTCTCTACTAAGCATGGCGTTTAGATTGCTCACCTTATTTGTATAAAGTTTCTACAGCAGACACTATCATCTCGTATTCAGTTCAGTACAGGGAGATTGCTTATCCTGCCAAGCGGTGGGACATTATTCTCGTCGAGATGGCTCTATGGCAGTCACGAGAACACCATCTCTCCTCGTCAACAGGCCGCAGTCGTGACGAGAGCGTTTCTAAGACGTCTCGATCATTGGGTGGTGGATCATAGCTCCTTCGCAGCTTACGAGCTCTCATCCGTGTCGAACGGATGATTGATTGATATCTTCTCGCACACTTGTGTCAGATGGGACAGATCCCTGCGTACGAGATAATCTTACGTCACTTACTAGAGTATTCAGGTTGGCCTTCACGGATATAAAGACTCTTCACGGAGATAAAGACTTGGAAGAAGAGTCCAGGCGAGGCTACTGCTGACCTGTGAACCGGATAGTGTATTTATTTAACCCAGCTGGGGTCGAGGGATTCCAATATCTGTCAGAAGCTAACTGGTACAGACTGAACTTCTACCATCTGTAGTGATCAGCTACTAAACATCAACTATGACTCAGCAGAATCTCAAAAACCACTTCAGAGGTACGCAGATTGCCATGCCTGTCATCAATACTAACCCCACGCAGGCTGCCCGATCCTGAACCCGGACGAGTTGCTTCCTCCCGACATCACTTCTGCTCCTCCCGGATCGGTGCCTCCTCCGGGCGAGGATTACTACACCCTGGCCAACGGTGAGTTGAAGAAAAAGACAGTGTCCTGAGCAAGCTGACGACACCAGGATGTCCGATTCGGAACCCGAACGCGTCGCAGAGAATCGGGAGGCAGCTTCGCGGCACTCTGCTGCTGCAGGACCTCAACCTGATCGATATCATCTCGCACATCACCCATGAACGGATCCCAGAGCGGTAGGTATATGTATGGACTATGTCTTTAATTGCGTACAATGCTCACCCGTCAGACTGGTCCATGCCAAGGGTGCAGGTGCCTATGGCGAGTTCGAGGTCACCCACGACATCACCGAATTCACCAGCGCGGCCTTTCTCAACCATGTCGGCAAGAAGACGCCTCTCTTCGTGCGCTTTTCGACCGTGGCGGGCGAGAAGGGCTCCGCTGACAGCGTCCGCGACGCGCGAGGATTTGCCTTCAAGATGTACACCGAAGAGGGCAATCTCGACTGGGTGTTTTTCAGCACGGTACCATCTCACCAAGCACCTGTGTTGTCGAAAAGCTCTATCTAATCGTGACTGCTGCTAGCCCGTCTTCCAAATCCGAGACCCGGCAAAGTTCCCCTCCCTGGTGCATGCGCAGAAGCGCGAACCGTCGAGCAACCTGAAGGATCCCACGATGGTATGTCATGTCCCTCTCGGGCTGCCAATTGTTCCTGCTGACAGCTGCTAGTTCTGGGAGTATGTTCTTGCTGCTCGTCCATTGATTTGATCATTGCTAACTGTAGAAGCTACTTTAACCGCAACGCTGAGGGCTACAATTTCTTGATGTATCTGTTTAGCGACATGGGAACGCCGGTCTCATATCGATACGCAGACATCTACAGCATCAATACGTACGAGTTTACCAAGCCGGTAGGTTCTTCTTTCAGCTAGAACTCGTCTTATCTAACTGCTCACTGCACAGGATGGATCCTTCAAATACGTCCGGCTCACACTCAAGACGGACCAAGGAGTCAAGGACCTCACCCAGGACGAATCCGTCACCATCACCGGCAAAGACCCTGACTACTTCACTCGCGACCTGTACGACGCCATCGCCAAGGGCAACTACCCGTCGTGGACCGTCTACGCCCAGATCATCGACCCCCGCGAGGCCGAAACGTACCATACCAACATCTTCGACGCGACGCGCACTATCTCCGAGGACGACTACCCTCTGATCCCGTTTGGCAAGATCACGCTGAACCGCAATCCGGTCAACTACTTCGCCGAGGTGGAACAGGCGGCCTTCGCGCCGGCCAACATCGTTCCCGGCTGGGATATCACTCCGGATCCATGTATCCATCCCCTGCCCCATTTCATCCCAATGTAATTAATCTGACGTGATGACGCAGTGCTTCATATCCGGCTGTTTGCCTACGGCGACACGCAACGCTACCGTTTGGGGGTCAACTTTCCGCAGCTGCCGACAAACCGGTCCTTCTACAGCTACAATCCCACGAAACGCGACGGGGCCGCCACCATCACAAACTACGGCGACCTGCCCAACTACATACCCAGCGTCAACGGGCCGACGATCATCCAAGCAGCGCAGTACAAAGATCGTGCTGCCCACGAAGAGTGGTTGGGAAGCGCGGTCAACTTCGAGAGCGTCGTCACCGACGCCGACTTCGTCCAGCCCCGGGAATTTTGGACACGGCTGACAGAAGAGCAGCAGCAGCACTTTGTCTACAACGTAGCCGTCGACTTGTACGGGGCGATCACGAGTGTGCGGCACGCGGCTCATGGTAAGGCTGCCTGAGCGGTCCATCTTGAGGAGCAGATGCTAACCAAGTCTGTGCTCCTCATGTAGCTATCTTCAGCAAGATCGATGCCAAACTAGGCGAGCGAATCCAGACGGAAACTGAGGCCATGGTCCAGGCGAATGCCGGCATGGAGGAGATCCCTGGCGTCGTCGTTGGGGGGAAGGACCTCAATGCCACGCCGCCGACGGTACCGGCGCCGTTGACGAGAGTTGAGTCGACGATCTTCGAGAAGATTGCGCGGAAGGTCGAGTTGGAGTTGGAGGGTAAGATGGATGGATGATCTTGTTAGCAGACATGAGCCATGTATTCGAAAGGTGATTCAACACCCTTTTAATATTTTCCATATTGTCTTGATACACACTTGGTTTGGATCGTCCTTTATTCTATCTCCTCGCCTTTAGTCGAGTTACTTGTCTATTGTTATTCGTTTGAAAGAATGCAATAATTATGGACCAGAAAGGAATCAAATACATTAGCTATCGGTGAATTAGTTCATTGGTGTTCGTATATCCCGTCTATAATCTGTGATATCAAAGTTGAGTGCCAGGAACAGTGTCATAGACAATGACTGGAATTGTTACGGAAAAAAAAAGAGTGTGTGTGTGTGAAAAGAATAAAAGCGGAGGGAAGAGAAAATAAAAGAAATGATTTACTTATCAGCATATGTCTGCTTTGTAGACCCAGTCAAGATGGTGGTCTAGCTCAAGGACCCAGTACAAGGGACCTACCATACTACCCGGTACACACATGTGTGAACACTACTCCTGAAGAACCCAAGTAATAAGTCTTTCACCCCTTGATATTTTATCACGAATTTGGATTCTACTCTAGACTGGACTCGACTGCGATGTTCCAAACAGATGTGAATCGCCCCCTGTTTCAGCTTCGAACTGGTGTTCTGCCGGCAAATACATTCTGTGCCGAATTCCCGACCAAACTTCAGGAATTGAATTGAAAAAAAAAAGAATCCAGAAGAATGGATCGTTCCATAGTGGTCTCCGTATGAGATCTGCCGGACATTACGAAGTACTTCTCAGTAAATAACCTGTCGCACATCCTAAGCGAACATACCGCCATCAGGGCCTCGACAATTTGACCACGGGGTACATACAAGCAGATACTCCATACATAGGTAAATGCCTCATTGTAGCGCCGTGGCTGGAACAGCGAGTTTCCACTCGTTCAGGAAGTAGACGTGACTGGGTAGTTGAGGATGCTTCGTTTAGGGACTGCTCAGATCTGCGCTTTGAAAAAAAAACCTGTTTGAATGGAATCTTCCACTAGTACAGGTACATAAAATAGGAGACTTCTTGCTAACATCTACAGAGACGAAAGAACCGATAATATCTCCCCATATACGATACTATGACAGCGCAAATGATCCTTTTCCTGTAATTGTTTGAGAACAGCTATTTGTCAATGTTTTATCTTCTACTTCGAAGCAGTGATATTCGGATGATTAGTTTCTTATCTTAATCCGATAAAAAAAGAAACTCCAAAAAAAAAACGACGCTTACGCTCATCATGTCTATGACTAATACTAATAATGCGTGTACTCGATCTGGAAAACGAAGATCATCTACAGTTCCATCAGGTTCATCAGTTTCATCAGTTTCATCTCCAAACACTCTGACGTCTCACGGTGAGCGACACACTTGCCTGTCCGTCGGTCAGGAAGAAAGAAAGTCTAGCGAGCTGGGGACGGATGAATAATGCAAAAGAAAAGTCTCGACTAGTATCAAATGCAATGTCAAGGTCAATGCTAGAGGAGACAAGTCGTTTCGTCTTGTCGTTGCCAATCGTGAATTGCTGCCAGATCAGAAGCTTGTCGTTGATGGGAATATAGACTGATCTGTATGCGTTGTAGCGTCCAAAGCTGTCCATTCGGTGATGTTATCGCCTTTCAGATGGCGGGTAGCAATGGCAATAGTTCCACGGCCACGTCGTCCAGTACTGCTGCTTCTGCGAGTGCAGTCGTGGCAAGGAGGTTTACTGCATAATGAGCAGGGAGCAGCGTGCTCCGGTGTATTTCTGCCAATGTCGTCAGAAGAAAGATAAAGGTAAGAAGGATGATGCGGACTATCAATAATATATAAATTGGGCCTTTCAAATTGCAATGGTTGTCAGTTGATAGCACTTCGGACGCAGTGAAATTAGTCCTGCTGGGTTTCTATAGTTATTCTTTCCTTGAAAGAAAATAGTATTAAAAAAATAAAGCAAAAAAAAAAGATGCAGAATGGAAGAGATAAAGGAAAAGAAAACTAGTACTAGCTTAGTTAAATCCTTCAATGGAATCCTACAGAGTAAGCCGTAGGGCACTTCAACATACTATCACTGCTGCAAAGTGAACTAAAAGGATGCCATGGCGTTCACTTCTTAGTCAATCTGCATCAAGTGTAAGTGGCTTGCCAACTGTTACTCTAAAGGAGAGAAAGGGATGCTGGAAGGAAAATACCTATGTACAGTCCAGGAGTTACAGATCTTGTCATACAATTTAGCTAAGAAGCAGATGTTGGGCGACTTTATTAGCAGAGTTTGGACATTCGAAATATTCTGCCACTACGTATCCATAGTTTTTGTGCTGCAAAGTACGTGATCAATTCTTTTTGTTTAAGAAAAAGATCCAGATAAATATATTCCAAGAATAGAAAAATAACCAAACCACGCCATTAAGGCTTCAACGGTGCAATGCAACGCAGTCAACCCGCTGCCGTAGTACACTGTACCCAGCTCACTGGAAGATGTCGTTTTGAGCACCTAACAAACAGGATATCAGCTCTCATATTCGCGTGATAAACAAGGTATATTGCAGGTGAAGGAATGCTTGACTGTACATACCTGGCTTGAACCCCCATCCCTCGCCATAGTAGACAAAGTCGTTGGGAGGCATTTCGACGTTGTTTCCTGATTGTTCTACACGAATCGAAGTTAGTTAATTCTTGCCTAGACTGAAGGATAGCTGGATAGAACTCACGGTTAAACGCGAGCATCTGCTTCGCCCCCTGGACGCATTTCGAGCTGTCATCTCCACAGTAGACAGGGACCTGGGCGGGCGCGAGGGTCTTGGTGGATGTTGACCCGGTGACGTTGCACTTGAATCCCTGCATGTACCTGAATATATCATTAGCAAGCTGTCGTAACTTCGGTGCGAACAATCCTACATGTTTGGCTGGCCGCAGCCCTTGGGGACCTGTCGATTGTCAGTACTGTACTTCTATTACTGATATCAGGTATGTATAGATAAGTACTCACCCAGAGCCACGCGCAGTGGCAACCCCCCTCCGGGCAGGGGGGCAGGTCAGCAGGAACCTCGTAGGTGGTCAGGCGGTGCCACGGGGTGCTAGACAAAGCTCAGCAAACCTCACTCCGAGAACTGACATATCTACTCACTTCGGCGTCACAGAAAACACAACCAGATTCTCCATCGTCACCTTGGACAGGTCCGACTGGTAGCTGATCGCCCACGCGGTTCCTGCCGCCATGGACTGGTTGTTCGTATGCATGGCGCCGTCGTCCTGGATGCAGTCCGGGGGATTGCCCGGGCCGGACCAGTCCTCTGGATGCTGCTTGCCATCCGGCCACTCGGACGTGTACTGTCCATTGTAGGAGAGCGTCGTCTGCGCGCGGTTGTGGGCCAGCTCGACGGTGAAGTTCCCTCCGGCGGGCAGCTCGAGGATCTGGCCGTCAGCAGGCGGGACGGCGTCGCAGCCGCGGTCGTGCTGGAACCACCAGTCGGTCTGGGTGAGGTTGTAGAGCGGATTGACGGCGGTGTTGGTGTTGGGGTCGTCGACAGAGGGATCGGGGCCGCCGAGACAGTACATGCCGTACGCCCAGGCGGCGACGTGGGCGTGGGCGACGCTGCTCAGGGCCAGCAGAGCGGGGATGACGATCATGTTGAACGAGTGAATAAAAAGAAGGCTAGAAACGAAGGTAAGAAGACGAATGTCGAGGCAGTAGTAAAAATCAACCGCTGTAAGGGAACGACAGACGCAGAGCAGTGAACTGCGTCCGTGATATATAATTTATAGGCATTTAATTACAGGGATACAGGAGGAGATCCAGATCGACTACTCCGTACATAATTGTACATAATTCCTGCTCATCCGAAGGCGATGGGTCTCTGTCATGCATCGGCCGTTTCACGTTTCAACCCACCGCGCCCTAACAGCTAAGCTTAACCTTGGCCCTCCAATCGACGATACACTTTTGTTTCACAAACGCAGATACAACCCCCCGATCTTACCCAATCGATCCCACGGTCGTGTCGGATGCATGGTTCCCCGCAGACTGTGGGATCGACGGTTACCCACACGGTTGCACCTGTCAGGACGAGGATTTGCCTTTTTCGGCCTGATTCTCGGCGTGGCTCGCACTAGTCAGGGGTGTATACAGCTGTTGCTTTATGATCGACTACTCCGTATACTCCGTACAAAAGTGTTCAACGGCGTCAAAGCTGGCTCCGTAATCTGTACTCCCTAATCTGCACTCCGTATGCTGTATTCCGTACTCCGGACTTTGTACTACGTGATCTGTACTCCGTATTCTGTACTCCCCGATCTGTAATCGTACTCCGACTTCATAATAAGCACTAACATATGATGGGTTGGGTCAGATTTAATTGATTGGATGGATAGATGCAGGGCCTTAAGAACAAAGAAAAAGAAAAAGAAGAACTTAGACAATCAAGGAAAATACAGAAAAAAATAAATTCAGTTACAGACTCGGGCAAAAACACGTGCAAAGGTGCCTTTTGGTCTTTATCTAGAGCTTTAACCTTGGGTCCATTGAAGCCAGCAAGTCAGTGTATCTTGCTCCCAGTCCACGACATAAAACTGTGGTTCGAAGATGACCGAACTCGACTCTCAGGCTACTTAGCTACCATATCTGCTGGTCTCTGACGACTTTGCTGGACTTCCACACATCGTATACCCTCTCCATAGCTATCTATACATTCTCGTCTGCCCGATGTGCATGCACAGGTGGATCAAGAGGTAGGCCAGGGCATCCCACTCAACATGACTATAAAAGCCAGGGCCATTTCGTTGCGTGCTTCGACATACTTAGCGGACCTCTATAAACCCTTCAGCAAGCTTTCACATGGCACCCAGCCAGATCCAAGCCTGGTCATTTCTGCGCAGGTTGACCATGATCTTTAGCGTCACTAGGGCCAGTTTGCCACTGACATAGTGACAGAGTCAAAATGAATGTCCCTGTCATAGCATGCAAGATATTGCTCTTTAAGCCGCTGGTGAAGCCGATTGGTGGCATTATTCTTCTATACTGCCGGCACCCTCTACTACAATTCATTGGGTGAATTTATTACTGACAATGATTTGGCGAAAAAATCGCCGATCTCAAATTTTAGTCCATCAGGGACCATCTACAGGTTGATCTACAGGTTGATTATTCATGTTTATATCCAGGGTGCTATTATTCTTACTAAACGGAATCTTGTGTTGAAGGAGCATTTATATGGTCCTCAACAACATTCACATCAAGGATGTAGATTTTTCTGATACTCTACTGGCTACATGTCCATGATAACCCAGTACCTCCGTTTCTGGATCAATGCCAGCCAGATCTTGGGTTGCTTTCGGAATCTGCTTCTGGATAGTTGGAGCATAGAAGACTTTCAGTAATGGATCCACGTTCTGTAGATAGGTCTGCCAGATGAGAAAGATGAGTCCTAGTGAAGGGTGAAAGGAATGCAATGCCAGACACGCTGTTTCTGGCAAAAAGGAATAAGACATTGTTATAACTGCCAGCAATCGTCTTGTCAAAGCAATTTAAAGTGACATTGCCTGGGTTGTTTGTCCTTATCTGGAAGTTTTGTTGTTACCTCTTGCCTTCATCTGGTATGACAATACATCTACTGTATGTACTTCTATGGCGCCATCTTGCAGGATTCGACAGATTATTCTGTCTCAAACCCTATTTTCTCACTTTGTCTTCACTATTTATCGCGATATCATGAAAGAGTCGATTTCTGTTTTCAGTAAGTGTTTATCCCCTGACCTCGCACTCCTATACTTAGAAGAAATAGAGGACTCTCTAGAAACAATCCAGGTTGCGCATACTTGAAGTCTAGATAATCATTAGCTATGTAGACATTCGCTCAAATATTTCAGCAATTACATGTACTGTACTGTACATATTTATACTAGAAGCAGCATCCAGTGCTACCTATGGCTCATCATTTGCCCAGTAAATAATACCTCCTTGGCGCAGTTCCATCTACAGATTTGTCATCTTATCAAATCACTTGTATGAACATGAATTGTCTCTACGCATGCTTAGGAATCAAACTATTGTTTTTTCTCACGACGACAGTTAATAATTAGAGATTACCATGCGTTTTGCCTGGATAATCATTATAAAAAAGCCCGTGTCCGCGAGAAGGATAGTATTCATCCTGATCGATTTCTCTGTCAAATATAGATAACATTATATTCCTACAAAAACTCGCAAAGAACATAAATCACCACTCAAGAATTCCAGCCATTAGAACAGATCGAATGTCTGCTCTGATCACAAATGTCGCAATCCTTATGATATATAGCCATATCAATATCCATTACATATTTTGTCCCATGTGCAAGTAGTTATAGGTACAGGCCTGTCGAATGACCCTACACAGCTACCATCTGCGATAAAGACCCAAGACCTCCATTTATTTACTCTTACTAATAACGGCCAGCTCGGACAAGCGGTGTCGGTGGCGATGGAAGCTATCGACTCGGATTGACCGCTAGATGTGCTAAATCTACTGGCAGTTGGACAAATTTCGATATATTATTACTCGGCACTGGTGACCACAATTAAAACTATCTATTATTGACAGTAATGCCTCGCTTTAAAGCAATACTAATGAACTTAACATGAAATTAAGAGAATTTCTCTAATTTCTACCAGATGTATGCATCGATGACTAAGCATCCGGACTAGGCAAGTGGGTCCAAACCCAACCAATCAGAGAGCATTTTCGGCTCGCCATCCGAGCAGGCCGACAGCCAGGGCTCGACCGCTGCTCTCGCAATCAACTTCATTTCTCATTCTGCGTCGAGCAATCGTGAATATGGCCGTAGGAGCAAAATCAGCCTGACATGGCGTCCCCTCCGCCCGTCGGATCCAGCTGTCCCGGCCGCCCGCCTGACCACGGCGGCAAGCCGTTCCAGATCCGGCGCAAGCCGGTAGCAGCGGCCCAGCCTGCTGCGCAGCAGGAGATATCAGGGCAGGAAGTTGGCGTCGTCAAGACGAGTCCTGCCGAGTTGGCGGAGAAGAAGAGGCCGTCGCAAGAAGCACCCTCAACTGGCGCGCTGGAGAGGCCTGATGTATCATTGCAGACGTCTCTTCCGCCCAGGATCGCGGATGGCCCGGTCTATGCCAGTCCGGCGTCAGCATCAACTAATACGTCCCTCACTAATACTCCGTCGCCAGCTGGTGTGAGCTCGTCGTCAAAAACGGAATCTTCTTCTGGCACATCGCAGTCGTCCGCCGCATCGTACGTCCAAAAGGCGTACCGCGAAGCGCGGCATTTCGTCGGCGGGCTCATCCAGCATCCCACGGAGAGCACCAAGCACTACACCATCCTGCGGCACTCGCACGGCATCGTCTTCTACCAGGGCAGCTACACGTTCCTGGCCGTGTCCATCTTCGCGGACACGCCGCTGCCGGCGGACCGCACGCTCTGGATGCAGAGCAAAGGCTGGACGGGCAAGACGGGGATGCGCGCGCGCGCCCTGCTCGGGCTGACCGACAGCTGGATCAACGTCACGCCCACGACGCCCATCCGGCCGGACCAGGTCAAGCCGAGCGACGAGCGGGCGTGGCAGCGCGACATATCGCGGTTCCGCAAGAAAGGCCCGCAGCCGATGCGCGAGCGGCACCAGCTGCGCGAGACGGCCATTGTGCGCATCCCCGTCGAGGCGGGCGACGGATACTTCCAGCTGGTGCTGTGTCAGGGCGAGAAGAAAAAAGTGCTGTGCTACAGCCCCGTGTTCCGAGTCATCTCGACGTCGTCAGACCCCAGCTCCCTCCGAGGCGCCAGTTTGAGTACCCTGCCGCTGGAGCTGGGGGCGTACATTGCGAGCACGTACGCGACGAACACGGTGCAGAGCCTCATCGCGCCGGTGACGCAGACGGTGCAGAACGTGCTGCAGCCGTATCTGCCGTCATGGAAGACGCAGCAGGCCCTGTCGACGGCGTATTCGGTCAGCGGGATGGAAGACCGTGTAGGGTCGACGATCGAGGACGCGAACAGCCGGCTCGATCAAGTCAGGGAGCAAGCATTCACCCGGGCTGGCGGCGAAGAGGTTGATCTCGAGGCTGGGCCAGCACCGCCGTATCCGATTGATTTCGTCGGCCGTGTCGAGGAGCCCATCCAGACGGAATGTTTTGCGCCGAGGATGAAAGTAGGGGGAGTGCCTGCTCATGTATCGCAGCGGTTATACGGCCACTACTTTGGCTGGGCTCGACTGCTGCCAGAGCAGCGTGGCGCAGCAGCAGCTCAGCCCGGTCCATGGCAGCAGAGTGTCATCTCCGCGACGTCAGCAGTGGCAGAAGCAACAGCGCCAAACGTGCGGTCCGATCAAGCGTTCAAGACGAAAGTGTCCATCCGGTTCATCGACGACGTCGACGTGGAGATCCAGCCTCGCTCCCGGATCGAGGTGCGGGTAATGGGCTTTGTCCGGTCGCCACAGGCCTCGTCAGCATCGCCATCACCATCACCATCAGGGTCAACCTCGTCTCTCCAGAAGGGCATTGCCAAAACTGGAGCCGGCGACGACGCCGCAGCCGCAGCCGCAGCCGAAGAGCGCATGCTCCTCGAAGCATACGATGCCTCCCTAGCACAAAGCACACTAGACCACCCAGCCTGGGCGCCCGACGCACCCGTCGCCCGCAAAAACGAGAAGGACAGCGAGCGAGTCGCCGACAGCGAGAAGCAAGGCATTCTCGACCGGACAAAAGACCGGTACGCACAAGCGCTCATTTCGGGACAAAGGGCCATCGACCGGGTGCCGTTGCATAAACTCGGTGTGCGGATGGGCACGCATGAGCTGAAGGATAAGATGGTGCCTGTTAGTGGATTCTATATCCCTAGATAGCAGTCATCATGGCGGGTATATATATACACGTATGTACATACTGTACGGCTGGTGTGATATTTATTGGTATAGGATATCCTTATCGTTCTGTCTGTCTATTTGTAATTATTTCTTCTCTTTTTCTCTTCATATATGTGTTGTACAGTACTTCCACAGATCTATACGTATATTTAATAAATACAGTTGATTAAATTTCTTCCCGTACAAAATCATCCCAAAATGTCTATTATATATATTTCCAGCACTATTAATCCAATCAATAATCGACTTTCTTTTCCTCAACAATATAGCATAGTTGAATCTTTCAACAGTTACAGACTGAGCGAAATTCATATAATCATGAATTTCTGTCTATTTTTTTTCTTACCTGAGAATTAACTTCACTAGACCTACACGAAACCACAATGCTCAGAACGAAGCCGTGGATTGGATTATCTGCAGGAGTCCAAAAAAAAAGTGAGAGCGCGCTCTGACGATACTATACAACTCCCAGAATCTGAAATATAGACTACTATACAACTCCCAGAATCTGAAATATAGACCAAAAAAAAGTACAAAAAAAGGACAGAGTAAGACAATACCTACGTAAATTATTGAACTGATATTATTTGGTTATCTCGTATACGATATATCTATCAAATTCAAATCCGGTCTAACCAACACTGATTCTTCTTTTTTTTCTTTTTCTTTTCTTTCTTTCCCCTCCCCCCCCCCCCCCCTTTTTCTTCGTTAAGTTTTGTTGACTTGCTCTGTCCTGCTTGTCCACTACTTTTAATATTTAAGATTGATTATATATTGATGGTATATATTCCTATTTATATTTAAACTATCTCATGCTCATATTAAACTCAGCTCAACTCCCCATGCATGCAGTATGTATAACCCATCCCTGCAATTGTTGACAGTCGACTAATCACCGCTAGCCCAGTCAGGCCATCAGCGCCGAGGACAGCCATCTCGGCAGAGGACACCGAAACAGGCAGTCGAAACCGAGGGCTGCAGGCGGTCCGTGCGCCGGGCCAGACAAGCTTTTTCGGAAACGTGCCGTGCACGGGCCAGGCACCCGATATCCAATCAGCGGCCGCGGAATAATACAGGCGTGGACTCGTGGCTGCCGCCATGCAGCGAGTGGATGCGAGCACGAGCCTCCAGAATAAATAGCACAGGACGTTGAGGCATTTTCATGATTGGCAGGGAGGGAGAGGGCCCTGGATGTTTTCCGCTCGCATGGGGGACCGCATCGTCCGTGAAGACGAGGGCAAGAAGCAGCGGGGATCTGCCAGGCCACGACTTTGGTCCAAAAAAAAAAGCAACGAGAAGGCGCTGAATTGGCCGAGAAAAGCACGAGGAGGAAAAACAACAAGAGACAGAAAACGATCGAAAACTTTTCTTAGTGCGTCACATCCGTGCTAGCTTCCACAACCTTAAATATGCGCTGACATCATTGGCCGAGCTCGGGCCACCGAGGCACCTCGCTCTGACCCAAGGCACCGCCAGGCCTGCAATGTCTGGATGTCTGTGCCTAGGTAGCAATGCAGTTACGTGCACGGCGGTGATTTCGTCAGGGCCCTAAACTCTGATCCTCGTCTGTTTTTCCTTTTTCTTTCTTGCAGCCTCTGTCGATCCAGGCCGGGGGAATCCTCGATGCATCAGTTCAGCCCTCCTTCTAGAAACGTATTAGGCAGATATCACAATCCGAGTGTCCATCGTGCAGATCAGGCAGAAAAACTCAATTCAACGGATTGTTGATATCTTGCTCCTCTTTGGCCAGGTCCAGCAGACCAGCTGGCTAGCTACCTCCGGGGATCCGAGGCTCCAGCTGTGATGCACCACAGAGATGAAATTGCTCTTGGAATAGCCGCCTACTTAGCTGCGGATACAGGGAGCTAAGCTCCCTCGACCCGGATCAGAAACATGAAGGATTTTTTCTATCCTCTCTCGTCGTGCAGACGGCGTCCAAGGAAGAAAAAGAAAGGAAAAAGATGCGGTGAGAGAGGATCAGAGTAGTAGTAAGGTAGCTGCTGAGATTGAGAAGTCATTACTGTTGCATAAGATCTAGAGATAAGAAGGAAAAAAATTTTTTTTCACGTCCCTTAGTTTCAGTAGATTCGGTAAACATTACCATACCACTGCCCCTCCGACTATCAAAAATATTACGTCCTGCCTGGTACGAAAATCTTTCAACCGAAACTTAATCAGTGAAGCACAACACTTTCAATCTCCTACTTACCTGCTTCAATTACTGCACATTCCTGATCGCATTTTTTCTTCTCTTGTTGATTTCCAATTTCCTCACAACTCTGGCGCCCTTTCACGCTCTCTCGTCTAGCGAATTCCTCTGCGAACCCACCCGTCCGCCATAGAATGGGACTGGCATACTCGTTTCTCTCGCCATTGCTCTCTTCTGGGCGAAGACTCGAATACTCGGCAATCACTGTCATGGTCAAGGTCGCGGTGTTGGCTCCTGGTATGGCTGACGGATTGGCACGGTATGTGACCTGCTTCGTATGTGAATTGCAGGGAGTAACTGACGCAGCAAAAGTGACTGAATAGGCGTTGCGCTCGAAAGAAAATTACACAGAATAAGCAAAACTAAAGAAAACCGAACTGTCCGCGGTTATTAAAACTGGCGAAATAAAAAAAAAATCCAAAATGTTTAAATTCATCCGTACCATCTGCCTCCCCGTCTTTAAGCGGGAGATCCAAGGCGTTGCTCCCACGCAGCTGGCCAAGAATGATGCCTCATCAAACCCACAGGAAAAAGAGAAAGAGCCTGTCGCCTGGGAGGTCCCCATTCAAGGCTACATCACCCGGGTCAAACCTCGCCGTCTGGATCGCTGGCTCGACGCCGCCGTCCGCTGGTCCGGCTCCGAGTATGTCTTCTTCACCATCCTGGCCGGTATTCTTGTCTGGGTGTTTCTCAGCATTCCGTTCCATGACTCCCTCACCTGGCAGGCTCTGATCTCCGACGTCCAGGCCATCCTGAGCTATGTGTTTGATTCGTTCTTGATGCGTCAGCAGCTCAATGGCTATGAGGATGTGCTGGTGGTGACGGCAGAACTTCGTTCTCGCGGCGCCTCGCACAACCGCATGCTGAGAAAGCTCGTAGAAGGCATGGACAAGGACGAACTGGCGCGTCTGACAGTGGTCAACGAGCAGCAGGACACCATGGTCAGTGAATTCGACCCTGAACTCCCCGGCGAGAACTGGTTCGGACGGGCTGTCACCGCGTTCTCGCGTGTCCTCGGCCATCTCATCACCGTGGCACTCTACTGGGCCTGCATCGTCATCTGGCTCGGGTTCGGCGCCTTCTGTAGTTGGAGCGACATGTGGGAGCTGTACATCAACTCGGCCACGTCGGCGTTGATGGTCTTTGTGTTCTCGTTCCTGGCCAATATCCGCGAACGCCACTCCGACTACACGAAACGCTGTCTGGACGCCATCTTCCGCGTCGATGCGGCTCTGGAACTCAAGCTACGGACCGTGACAGGCGACCAGCAGGAGAATGAGCTCGTGATCATCCCACCGCCAAAGGCTAACGTGGTCCAGAAAGTGATCTTCTATTATGCCGATGTGGTTGGGACCCTGGTGGGAATCGTGATTCTCATTATCGTCATCATCGTTTGGCTTGCTGTCGGCCCAGTCATGTCGTTCAGCTCCAACTGGTGGCTGTTAATCGGAACGTATGCCGGCCTGGTCGGGATGAACGACGGCTTCGTGCTGCGGAATGTGCAGAACAAGCTGAGCGACTACGAGAATGTGGAGTTCGACAAGGTTGACGTGAGCGACGCGGCCCTGTTTGACATCGCCGGCATTCGCATTCCAGATCGGGAGACAGTCCAACACACGTCGCTGACCCACCGCGTGTCCACGGCCATGAACAAAGTCTGCGCGCACGAACTTACAGTCATCGCGGGCTTTCTCGTCATCGTTGGCCTGATCGTCGGGTCCAGCGTGATGCAGTGGAACACGACGGGGCAATTGATCTCCAACATCCCGCCGAGCATTATCGAGTCGTTCTTCATGATCATCTTGATCACGGGGCACAACGACGCCGATGCGGCGAAGCGGGTGGATCTGAAGCACCTCTACGAGAGGCGGCTGGCACTGTTGGCGTTTGTCAACCGTGTGGGAGCGGCTGAGTCTGCCAATCCGCAGCCAGTGACCATCTGCAGTGAAGAGCAGCTCGCTGATGAGCAGTAGGAGCAGGGACCTGTGTAATTGGGGACAGTTCGGTGGATCTGTTAGTTGCCAAAGACCGCTGACCTTGAAGGAGTTGAATCAGGATCGGGAAGTGTGAGAATGAGGTAAGGCAGGAACGACTGACAGGAGTTGCAGCAGAGAAGAGTAGAGGTGGACGAATATAAATACAGAACATTAATCAAGAGTATATAAGGTAGACAAGATGTGGTAGAATGAGAAAATGGAGACTCGTTGCGCAAAGAAAGAAAGAGCAGATGTCACGAGACACCAAGGAAGGCGCATGGTCAGCTGCCAGGCCGCTCAGGGCTTAGGGCCCAGGGCTAGGGATGCCACATCCACACCTAAACAGCGCCTCACCTCGCATGTTTGGGACAATAACTCTGTCATACTGTGTAATTGGACTTATGCTGGACTATTCACCAGCAGACTGGTTCCTTCCTCGCTTGGAAATACTACTTAGGCTTGTGATGAGGTAAGCTGCTCGACATTTATTCGACAAATGCAGCCGCAGATCAAAAAAAAGAAAAGAAAAGAAAAGAAAAGAAAAGAATGGTTGAAGCATTTGGAATTTCAACTTGGATAATATTATCCTATCGTCCTGGGTGATGGGGCTCGAAGTGCTATGCTACCTCTCTCACAAATGTTCGTAGATCTCTGTAATATCGTCAAGCCACTAACTCCGCTGCATCACGACAATGTGATTGTGCGACATTCGGGGATATCCTGCCCACTGCCAGCAAGCAGCTGCGGTAATAGCTTCGCAGAAACACTATCAACAAAAAGCCGGCATTCCATGCAAAAGATGGGGACGAAATTCATCATAATCAGGCCAGTACTTGGCCTCCTCATAGGGCACGCCCTCCTTCTCATCGGAGTAATAGCGACAGCCGCCCGACGCGCAGACCCAGAACCCGTCGTCGCCGAACAAGCCCGTCTTCCTGCACTTCCGGTCCTGGCGACTCGGGAACCCGCAGTAGCATTTGGGGTTGTCGGGGTGCAGGCCGACGTCGTCGTCCCAGGTGATGAAGCCGCGCGGGTAGCCGCAGTTGCGGTTGACGTTGGTCTTGGAGTTGTCGCACGTGGTGCAGACGTAGTAGGGGCGAGTCATCTCGCCGAATTCGGGATGCCGGAATGTCCAGACGCGGCGTTTGATGAGTGCTGGGGTCCGATGATGGTCGTTTGACCAGCATAGCTTCGGCCTCTCGGGGAGGGGGAAGGTTGGCGGAGATGGTAGTTCTAAATTATCGGAGACAGTGTCTGGTAATGACATTGTTGTGGATGTTAGCTGTGAAGCTCACAGATAAGGCCAGACGAGAGTTTTGGTCAAGAAAGTGCAATTCATTTCCTTGGCTGAGGATCCAATATTAGTAACTGAAGGTGGTATTTGGTATGGCGTCATGGCTGCGACATAAGTCCAATACACGGCAGTGGCGGAGCTTCGTGTTGAAATCAAGGCTCTTTTTCGTAAAAATAAAAAAAAGGAAATGAAAAAGAAAATAATGATGTCAACTCTCAGCTAGCTGAAGAATATGTTGAAGACTTACCGACTGCTCGAGGGGTACATGCACGCAAATTTCGGCAACAAAAGCATATCCATCCCACACGGCGAGAAAGCCCTATGTCGACGACACATATGCAATTTTGAACCGGAAAATTCATGTTCGATTCATCGCAGCCATCAACACAACTCTTCCTAACGATACATGATATAGCACGTAGATATACATTCTGGCAGTCCGGGAAAATTATAATAGTGATCGCTGTCGATAATTGCTTGCTTTCCAAAAAGAGTATATCAACATTCTTGCCGAAAGTGGTGACCACTATACCAGAAGGACCAAAAGCTGCTGCTCTAGGCTCTATTAGCAGTCCCAGGGATGCAGTAAATTAATAAATGGCATTAGGAACTCTTTGAGAATTCTCATTTATCTGCCTGCCTGCATGGGTGTACTCTGAGTATAGCCTTCGAATACCAATTGTTGTATGGCCATTTATGCTCGACAAGTATGAAGCCTCAACGTCATATCCAAGCTGAAGTGGAGTCTTGATTGAGAGGGCGAGGAATGGATAATAGAGAGAAAGAGATGGATTTGATATAGAAATCGTTGCTCCTATCATTCCTAGAATAACAAACTAAATACAGTAGACTTTTTTCAAATATAACCAATCTTCAATCAGGGTACCCTCCGAACAGAGAATATCATCGCCCGCGCTTTTCGTGTCCCCAAACTCAGAGTTCCATTTTCGTGGTGAATTATGTACTGTACAGTACTTACGGCACAGCACGACTAAAGGCTTACCTCCTGTTTCTCTCTAATTGTTATCAAGGGTGCAGGTACTCGGCGCCGACACCCACCCGGTCAAGCGGTTGGCAATGTCCGAGGCGTAGCAGTGCGTGGCAACACCCTTACCCAGGTCACCGCTGGGGTCGATCGAGCCCGAGTTGTAGATCCGGGCGGCCTGGTAGAAGGCCTGGGCGCCTGCTCCGGCAGGAGCATAGTTCAGACAGTTGGCCAGGCCGTCGCCGGTGGTTGTACCGGCAGCTGTGAGTCATCAAATCAGCAGGTCGTCATTTTTTTTTTGTGATGCTATTTGGCACTTACTTCCTTCGCTCACCATCTGGGTGATGGTGTCTTGCGGGCAAGGGTTCACCACATCGCCGTTGCCGTAGTTGCAGGTGGCCGATCCGTCGTGGTCCTGCATCAGACCCGGGTTGGGAACGGAGCCGTAGCTGGTCGGCACACGGACGCAGCCGGTCGACTCCTGCATGATGACGGCCAGGATGAAGCGGTGGTCGACGTACGTCTCGGCGGCGACCTGCTCGATGGCGTTCCAGATACTGCCCACCTCGGGGCCGCTGTCGTCGGCGACGCCGTACTGGTCGCAGCCAGAGAACATGGCGTTCTTGTTGTTGTTGAACCTGGATATATGGTTAGATGGAATCTACAGAGAAGGGGCTGGTGACCTACATATCAATGAAGGAGACCCTAGACGCCACATCAGCAAGTGACGGATAATGCAGAGAAAAGCCATGACAAACCATTGCGACTGGTCAGGCCAGCCATCGGCAGTCGAGCCGTCTCCGCTGTAGAAGGTGTATGAATCGGTTCCGGCGCCGATTCCATCGTAGTCGTTGACGGTGTAGACGGCGAGATTGGGGTTGGTGACCGTCTCCCCGGTCGCTCTGGCAAGGACGTCGACGGTAGATCTGGCATCGAGGGCTCGATAGAACTTGTCCATGATCTCGCCAGGCTGGGGGAAAGGCAAGGCCTTGGCCAGGCTGGCCAGAGATCCGGCAACGAGAAGCTGAGGATGTCAGTGACGGTCAGAGCAGAGAGGTAGATAGCTCGCCTACCTGACGAACGGACATGTTGAAAAAGATTAAGAAGATTAAAGTCTTGTTGAAGAAGATTAAAGTAGATTAAAGTATCGTAGTTGAATAGTCAATATCAACGATGAAAGAATTGAGAGCCTTGTGGACCTGCACGCTGAAGATTCTCTGCCTGAGAACGGCGTCTCTTCGCCATTTTATATTCCACGACTTTGGCTTTCACTCCTCTGTAGAACAGAAAGATGAAGAAGTACGGCATACTTTCAGCCCCTCCCCTCAGCATCAGATAGTCGTCGGCAGAAATTCGGGGTCTAGTTCTCTCGATGCAAGTCATCTTCGCCCGTTCCGACAATTCCTGCCAATGGCCATGAAGATGGACAGCAGAGTCTAGACCAGAGGGCAGACAGTATCGCAGGTGCAAATGCTACCATACCTTTGAGGCGCTCGCCGATGTGACAGCTATCTTATCCCAGAAAGGCAGATGGTTGATTGCGCTTGAGGCTATCCGGGCTAGCACCGGCACTAAGCATCCAGGCACACATGGCTCCAATTCGCAGGCTGATGCGCCAAAACCTTCGGCAAAAGCTTCCTATCCACTTCATAATCTGGCTGAGTTTGCAGATGACTTAAGAGTCGACTCCATGATCCTTGCTTGAGATGGAGTTCTGTCAGCAATACCTCAAGGTCGTGTGATTCTCACTACTCCAATGAGGCGACCATGGTGACAATGGCTTTGTTGGATTGTGACGTATCGATCTGGTCACCTTGTTCCATGAATGGCATGCTTCTATATTGATGGCGCTGGCTGTGCTGTGACCTGCATGTTGCGGCTGACGGCTGAATACTTTCATAAGCTGCGTTGTATAGACGCTAAAAATAACCTTTTTTTTTCAAACAAAGAAAATAAAGGTCACAGGAAACAACGGAACCCCTCCTTAACAATTTATCATGGCGTAAAGGGGGTTGAAAAAGCATAAGATTGGGTGTGGAAGTTGAGATGTTGGCCCAGGGAGGCGCCGCGATCGAAATCGATTAATGTGCCTGCGGGGGTACTTAGAGTATGGCATACTAATGTAAGAGATGTTACGTGCGTTAGTGTCCCCCACTCTCTTCACTCTTCAACTTTTCGACCGTTTGCCAAGATGTCTGGACTGATCTAGTAATCAAAGTTGGTCCGGCTCTTCCCAGTAATATCCTGTCGAGTGTAGTCCGATCATGTCGAGAATATAATCTTCATCCCACCATCTCGTATGCACTGTTGATCACAGAAGAGCCTGAACGACGCTAGCATAGTTCAATGCATACTGCCAGCAGTTGCATATCATCGATGAGGCTACAGAGCCTTCAATTCCAAGTGCCCAGCGGCCCAACCATCCAGTAGGGATGGGACTATTTTTGGCGGATTTGCTAGCTGCTGACAAAATCAGCCCCCCACCTGGGTCGGTTTGAAATATCCTGGGGATAGCCTCTTGACATGAACATGCGCGAAATGTTGGTGGAGATCCAGTCGGAACGGTTCCTGTCCAGTAAATAGATTGGTGCTATGATGTGTCAGCAAACGGAAAAAAAAATAAAAAGGATCAAAAAAAAGTGACATGGCAACTACTGTCAGCCGTGGATGTTTCTCACTGGCAAGTGGAAGACAAGGCTGGACAGGTTCACGTGGTTCCGACGTCGACAGCTGTTGGTAAGAGAGAGAAAAGCCAGCCCAGCGGGACTGCCGGATGAAACGGTGGTCCGTTTTCAAGTGTATTCTGCAATGGAGTAAGTAAGCTTCTAGTGGGATGCGATAAAATATATAGGTAATATAGCATGGTTAAACCGATTCATTGCTAAAATCTCACCCATTCCCGTAAGTCGAGTCTTTTCTGTAGAAAGTGCCTCGCACGTGTTCCTGAGTGAATCCCCCGCAGACATGCGACAAGAGAGCAATTAGATTAATTAGAGTGATATTAGAGTAGCATTAGAGTCTGACTGTTCCACAGACACGGCAGCAGCGACGGATCGCGCCTGCAGCACAACTGCTGTGCCTGACACGGGCGCTATGCCGCTCTGGGAAGGCCCCACCCCGATCTGGACCCGCTGCCAACCTTCCTCCATGCTTACCTTATCTGCATGCTTGCCCGTTTAGGCAGGTGCAAGCCTGTCAAGCACGCCGAATGTTAGGAACCAGGCCAGCTGCCGAAACACAAGCTGTCTGGAAATCCACGCTGGCTTCTTTAAATCACGCTTAATTATCCATTGCCTCCATGACTGCAACTTAGAATACCAGTCTTGCAGATGTAGATATGTTGAGTAGTACTCCATGTTATGCTGTTGGCCCCGCCAAGAGACTTTTTTAAGATCCCAGTCTGGGCGAACTCATATTCATACATTTCTGGCGTCAAATAAGCGTCTACGAATCCAATAAAGAATGGAGGAGACTGTTTTAGCTTAATGCCGTATGCCATTTCTACGAGAGATGAATGATCACGAATGAGAAAGGATCCTCCGACTACATACATGAAATGGATTATGCATACACGTGACTGGTCCATGTCATGGATTTGCCATGTGATCTGAGGATAGATCGTCCATATGCTCCGTCAAGAAAGGTGCTTCCATCAAAGGTACAACGTCATACCCCGACAGGCACTATCGTGCAAGCAATCTCGTTTTCGAAGGCACTAATTCCAGAGCTGCTAATTCTAATCTGCTAAAGTCAAATAAGATTTGTCGATACCTCGCTGAAGCCCTGTCAAATTGTGATTCACTCTTTGTTCCATTCCTGTTTTATGACTTGTAGAGCGCGGTCTTTGGCTCTGCAGTCCTCGGGAAAATCAAGTGAGGATTTTAACGGTGTTTTTAGCTTTTAAGAGGAAAGGGTATTTCAATACCCAGGAGAACAAGGTGAAAGCCTTTCGTGAGAAACGGGCCACGGCGGAATTTCTTCGCAAATGATCCGCGTTTTTGTTGCTCTTTCAGCGAGAAGTCATGAGTCCAGAAAGGTCTCTTTGGCCGATTTGTCATGTCGTGAGAATAGATATAGAGCGATGCAGTGAAGTCACCAACAAGCGGAATATCATTCTCATTGTGCCATTTGACAATCCAATTCGAAAGTGGTGCGACGGTATCCTGCTTAGCATAATGGCTCAAATCTTCCGCTGACAGGCCCCATGGGTATACAGTAACCCTGTTTCGAGTTTCCTGGATATCGAGGTGAAGGACGATCTTTGTGTTGCCCTCGGTTCCATGAAGAAGTTTCCGCATCCTCAAACAGTTTTCTCGAGACGCTCACTCACGCCTACTTCAACGACAATTATTGCTGCCAGAAACGGAGCACAGCGAAATCTCTTTGTAAATGAGCCTTGTTTTTGTTGCCCTTTCAGGGAGAAGTCATAGGTCCAGAAAGGCGTCTTGGTCATCCTACTCTGATGGTGCGTACCACTAAGAGAAAACTCCGGAGTATCAATCAGTACTAAAATGACATCAAATGTCCGATGGTAAAGGCCAGTACTGACGCAGTTCATGAATCACCATGTGGTCGCTTGTGTCGCTCTTTGCAAGTATCTCAGAACCACAACGTAAAGACGAGAGCGGCAGATTGTTGAACTGGGTCATGTGTTGCTTTAACTGTAATTTTCTGAAGCCTGGCATCATAGTCGATGGTCTTCAGCTCTCTGAGCTCGGTAGAGTCCCACTCAAAGAAGTCGGCAGAGGATACCTAGTGTTTTGCATCGTCAATGGATTTCCTCTTCGATAACACGGTGGTTCACGCACTGATAAGTGTGAGATTCATTGCGGCCAGCCTGTGTTTCGGCTAACTTGCAAACCATCTCCTGACTCAGATCACCAAGTGACTTGACATTGGAAAGAATCTCTTGAACCTTTTCCTACAGCTCCATCAAATTAGGTGTTGATAGGATGGCGACAATGGGTGAAGTGACAGGACGTGGTAGGATTGCGGCCGATGCCGAAGCAATCACCGTCGAGCAAGACATGGAAGACGAAGTTTGATTCTCTAGAAGTGACTCTGCCTTGCGGGTGTGATGTTGCCTAGCCGGGGCCTTGTCCTTGGATTGCTGTACTGCCACACAGGCACAAACAAATCGAGACCTACTACTGTGGCCATGGTATGTAGTTGATATGATCAAAAATAATGTTGAAATTGATGTGCAGGTAGTGATGAGGATAACAGCGTCTGATTGCCAGTGAAAGAATTCATCTCTTGGTTAGTGACCAAGTCGCTGATGAGGAAGTCACGCTGGAGTGCCAGGGTGCCTGTTGCTCCCTACTTAAGTAGGCAGGACGTAATTGCTGCCATACGGGGTTTTGAACTACCGTCGAGCAACGGTTTATCGACCATATGAAAAAAAAAAATTAGACGTCTTAAAAAAGACACACGTCTTCAAAAATATGACCTTTTTCTTATTTTTATGACTGAGATTTAACTATTTTGGACTTCAGAAGTGATGCCGTACGCAAGAGGCTGCTGATTGATGGGGATCGATGGGATGATGTTAGGACAGAATAGCTGACTTTGCTCTGGGCCAGACAGCTCAACAAATGCCCAGTCTAAGATGTGCGTTCCATTGACAGACTTTCCTGAGGAGATCAGCACGTCTCCTATGCTCTTCGGCATACTGTTCACTTTGTCTAGCATCTTCTGCCGGGAATGCACCAACGCCTGGCTGTTTTTCACGAGCCTCTCAAGAGCCGGCCGTGGTTCCAGTTGAGCCTTTGCTCTGTCTTGTACTTCTTTGCGCCAGTTTTCTAGGTTTGCGCTTTCTTCTCGAATCAGTTCCTCGAGGATCTTCCTGGTCTCTCTCACTTCTTTAACGGCCAAGTATTGGATCCTGGGCTTCAACTGGGATGGTTGGGAGAAATACGAATACCCGTATCTTTCAGCTTGCTTCCTTGTCATTGCGCTTGCTGATGCAGGCGGCCGGACGACGTGGTGCTTGGTAAGGAAACCCTTGTGGGTTTTACCGTTCAATTTCAGCCAAGACAAATCCCCCGAGGGAACCTTTACCTTCTTCCCCCACGACTCCGATGCTGCATCCCATTTCTGGGAGGCATCTCTCCGTCATTCTCGCATGAAATGATATGCCGGGAATTAGCGGTTCCTTGAGGGCGTATTTCACGGCATATTCCCGGTAGGAACTCGACGTTTATTGATGGCCCTTGAGGCGACGACTGGGCTAGGATGCTCCTGATCTTTCCGTCCAACCGCGACCAGTCGCTGTACGTCCGTGGCTGGACGGTGATGACGATGCTGGGGCTGGATGTCTGTTCGGTTATCCCCATGCGGAAGAGGCACAATGTCTGCCATCGGTTCCCTAATGTGGCCGTTATTTCTTCCGCAATAGCATCGCGGGTGCTTTCGTACACCGGCACAGTGGGATCGCTGAAATGAATGGCAAAAATTGAAGGCTGAAAGCACTTCAAGGGGTTGACTACTCAATTGGGATGTTGTCTGACGGCAGGAGGTTTCTGATTTCGTCCTTTATGGTGCCGAAGGAGCCACTGAAATCTTCCCAGATCAGAACACGTACAGTTGGAACTGGCTGGTCACCGCCGGGATATGCAGGCTTCGAGACATTGTCCACTCTCAGCGAGTACTGTCGAATCCGCCGGGCGTGCAGAAGTCGATCTATGTCCGGGAAGATGCCTTCGACTCGCTGCCTCACGTCTTCTGGTCCAGGTTCTTCGCGGAGAGGATAAGGCAGCGGACTAGGCTCAGTCGTAGAACGAAAAGCATCCATTCGCAGGAGGAAGTCCTCAATACTCATGTGGCCCCACGTTTCTTCCGACTCCCTCAGTTCTCTACGACGTTTCCTTGGGGACGGGGGTGGGGATGGGGGTTCCGGATCTCTGGGGTTGCGTTCAGGTAGCAACGGTGTGCGCTCCATGCTGGACACCAGAGGATATTGGAAAGAAGAGATGTCGAGCCCCGAGGCGTGAGTTGACAGTAGGAGAAGCTTAGGTATGACAAGCAATGATGGAGAACGCCGCGTCGTTGGTACGATGAGGACGTGTCAATGAGCTTGGAACGTGGAAATGGGAATAACAAGGACAACTGAACAAGATACAGTTGTCAAACCAGTCATATAATAAGACTGAAGAAGAACTGGATGGAAAAAGGTAACGGCAGGCGTTGTGGACGGAGAAGAAAGAAAGAATAAGTGGGTAATGGGCGTCAAATGGGCACGTGGTTGCTGCCTAGCCTGATGTGAGTAAAGCAGGTGCATGCAGCCTGTACTACCAAATTGGGAAAGAACCCCTGAACATGTGCAGGTGAATAGTGCTAAGTCATTGGTAGAGGGGACATAATATAGGTTAATCAAATAACCCAAGACAGTAAATGGTATTTGCAAAAGAATTGAGGCAGTGAATTAAGCAGCGTTACTAATTGCAAGCGAATTTAAATATGGTATGGTGGAAGGAAACACATACTACGGTGCTGGCTGGGCAGACAGCACTGAGGGAGAACACTAGTAGGAGGTCTCTGAGAGAATTAACACTCTCTTTAAGCTGTTCTTTGAGTCAATTTAGTAGAGAGACATGCTGCCAATTGTCAAGCCTATATGCGGCTTAATATATGAATTGAGCAAATTAGTACAATAACAAAGCACGAATCCAGGCGAGATCGCTGTGTTGTATTCTGACTATACAACAATTTCCAGCTCCCTGGAGCTCTTTTCTCCTGCGGAGTACGCCGAACCGGGACCCAATAATAATCCGCCTCGGCAGGAGCGACTGATGCTTCCTCGTGCTTTCCTTATCTGTATCTCTGCGTGCTTGCCCGTTTAGGCAGGTGGGAGCTTGTCAAGCACGCCATCGTGCCTTCCCTGCGAATCATCCTGCAACACGCAAGAGTTATAGCCATGGCTTCCTGCTTGCCCACACTTGACTCTGCCATTGCTTGATTTAACTTGATTTAAGCTTCATTTTGTGCCGCAGGCAACGAGACAGCAGCAGCACCTCCACCATGGCGACTCATCAAAAGCCTTCGCGACCAAACATCCTGCTCATCGTCGCAGACGATCTTGGCTTCTCTGACGTCGGCTGCTTTGGCGGCGAGATTCACACGCCCAATCTCGACCGCCTCGCCCGCGGAGGAGTGCGGCTGACGGGCTTCCACACTGCGTCCATGTGAGAGGAAACACCCTTTGGCGGATTAGAATCAGCACTAACGGCCCTCTGGCAGGTGCTCGCCCACCCGCGCCATGCTGCTCAGCGGCACAGACAACCACATCACTGGACTCGGCCAGATGGCCTTCTGGGGCGGTGACTCGGCCCCCTGGAAGAAACGGCCCGGCTACGAGGGATATCTGAACGACCGCGTGGCTGCGCTGCCGGAGATCCTGCAGGACGCTGGCTACTACACGACCATGTCAGGAAAATGGCATCTGGGGCTGACAGCGGACCGCACGCCGCACGCGCGCGGCTTTGATCGCTCGTTTGCGCTGCTGCCCGGCGGCGCGAACCACTATGCCTACGAGCCGACGCATGAGGACGGGCGGCCGGTGTTTTCGCACTGGGCTTCGCTGTATTACGAGGACGACAAGCAGGTCCATTCCAAGACGTTTCCCAAGGACTACTACTCGAGCGACTACTACACGACACGGTTGATCGAGTTCCTGAAGGAGCACAAATCAGGACCCAAGGCAGATGCGCCGTTCTTCGCCTATCTGGCGTTTACTGCGCCGCATTGGCCGCTCCAGGCGCCGCAGGAGATCATCCGCAAATACCGCGGCCTCTACAACGAGGGCCCAGATGTGTTGCGCGAGAAGAGACTGCGCAATCAAATCAAATTGGGCCTGCTGCCGGAGGACGTCGAGCCGCATCCGGTAGTGGCGTCGACGAAAGAATGGGACGATATGACTCCGGAGGAAAAGGCATGGTCTGCCCGGACAATGGAAGTGTTCGCGGCGATGGTCGACCGGCTGGACTGGAACGTCGGCCGGGTGTTGGCGCATCTCGAAGAGACAGGCGAGCTGGAGAACACGTTTATCCTGTTCATGTCCGACAACGGTGCCGAAGGAGCCATTATCGAAGCGCTTCCCATGACAGGTGACGTGATCAAAAAGAGCATAAATAAGCACTACAACAACGATCTTGACAATCTCGGCAACGGCGACTCGTTCATCTGGTACGGTCCCAGATGGGCCCAGGCGGCGACCGCCCCGTCCGCCATGTACAAGGGATATGTGACGGAGGGGGGCATACGCTGTCCAGCCATTGTGCATTATCCTCCTCTTATCAAGGCATCGTCCTCACCACCAGAAGGGGCCATCTCGTCCGCCTTCACGACCGTCATGGACATTCTGCCGACCGTCCTGTCTCTCGCCGGAGTGCCACCCCCACAGGACACATTCCGCAACAGGCCCATCGTCCCGATCAAGGGCAAGTCCTGGCTGCCACATCTGTCCGCCTCGCCAGACTTCGCCAGCGCACCGGCTGTGCACGACGACTCGACCGTCATCGGCTGGGAGCTGTTCTTCCACCAGGCGGTGCGGAAGGGACGGTACAAGGCGGTGTTTATTCCCGCGCCCAAGGGGCCCGAGAAGTGGCAGCTGTTCGACCTCGAGACGGACATGGGCGAGATGCACGATCTGGCGGAGGAGAAGCCAGAGATACTGGAGGAGCTGGTGCGGTACTGGGCGGTGTATGTGGCGGAGTTTGGAGTTTTGCTGTACGTCCTTCACCCGATCTCAAGATGGCAGGCTTGCTGACTGACCGTTTGCTTCTACAGGCGTGAAGAACTTGACCCGGACTATGTGCTTCCGAAGCATTGATGTCATCAGACATGAGGATATCTGTCAGCATATACACATATGCGGCTATACATGTGCGAATGAATATAAATATAAATGCGAGATAGAGGCATTGGAATGAGCACGATGGAGTCTACCAAGAAGAAGTCACTATGGAGCACGTCACATCTTTAATAGATTTCCCTACTCAAGCAATGTCTACCAACACTCCATCCACAAAATGACCATCAACCCGACCACTACCTAGCCAGAAACAACCTGACAATCGCTACTCAACCCCTTGACATTCGTACACACCCCAGTCGCAGTCGCATTATTCCACGGCCGGACATTGATATCCGTGAGGGTAAAATCCTCGCAAGACGACTTCTCAGAGCAGACGAGTGAGATGGTTGTCGTGTTGATCTTCTCGTTTGCATAGCCCGTGAAGTTCTGCCATGTGATGTTGCTGAACGTGAACCCTGTGGCAGGGTACTCGGCGCAAGGAGGGACGCCCCACCCAGCCCAATGGGTGCATTGCTGGAGGAGGACGGGCGCGGCGGTGATGTTTTGGATGTGGAAGTTTTTGAATACTGCAGCTGTCAGCCAGCTGCATGCAGGATTTCGCTTTGTTGATTGCCATGTGCTACTTACAGACGTTGCGCACCGAGCCGGTTCCGTTGCCGCCGCCTTGAGGGGGGTAGTAGACTCGCTTCCCGTTGTAGGTCTTGATGTATGCCCCGTTGCGGCTGTTGATGAGCTGTGAGGGGTCAGAGACATGCTGAGTGGAAGATTTCTAGGGTGAAGCTTGTCCTACCGTCACATCTTCCGCAGTGATATTCTCGACCAGGTCAAACACCCCTTCGTACTGGCCCAGACTGCCGACGGCGATGCCGGCTGTCTCTACGCAGGTGAGGTTCTTGACATGGATGTTGGTGGATCCTGACATCGTCAACATCAACAAGAATGATGATTCCGCCAAGGGACGGTACGCACCAGGCTTGAAACTAACGCAGTCATCTCCGGCGTCGACGTAGCTGTTCTGCGCAGACACATGAGACTTCAACAAACAAAATGTGAAAACTCAGCAAACATGGGCATGCATACCGAAATGTGGACATCATCGCTATACAGCGTATCGAAACCATCCGTATTGCCCAGATTGCCGGGATTTGCCTGAAAATCATCCGAATGCGCCGTGAGCCGGATGTTGTCGACGGTGATGTTCTGCGACTCGATGATGACGAAGTTCCTAGTATCCAGCGTCAGCAGTCAGCAACCATTCCTAAGTAGAACTGTACTGTGCAGTTTGGTAAAGCATCTGTTTCTTACCACTTCCCCGACTGCCGGATGTGAAAGTTCTGCGCGACGGAGTGCTTCGCGTTGCGCAGCGAGAAGGGGATTGGACGCCCAAAGAGGCCTCCTACGCCGAGGGCCACTGTTACTCAGTCAGTCAATCAGCAGCCAACAACTGTCTTGTGTTTTGAAAGACAGATTTATGTCAGGTATGGAGTTAGGTTAGTCACGTACAATCATACCAAACCTGCCCCTGGCCATCGATCACACCAGTACCATGTCCGTCGACTGTGATATACTCGCCCGACAGTTCCATGGCAATGGAAATGTTCTGGAAATGATAGTAGGAGCCATGCTGGATCCAGTACCGGACGTCTGTGGAGTACTATAGAAACAATCAGTCAGCATGCCTACAAATTACTTATTGCAATTCCTGAATTAGTATCATTATCATTAGGGACATACCAACAACGTCCCCAACAAATCAACCTGGACATGGCTCAGATTGTGTAGCTGCAGCACAGTGTTCAGATGATAGGTCTGGTTAGGCTGAAAGATGATGTGCCCGTTTGTGCTGCATGCGGCGAACGCGTCGCGGATGGCGGGCGAGTCGTCTTCGCCGGTGCCTTTGGCGGGGATGATGCAGGTTTTTGGGTTATTTCCTGCTGGATGGGTTGGAGTTGTAGTGGCCAGGGCAGTACTGGCCAAGCCAGCTAGGAAGAAGCAGACAGAAGAAGGGACCTTCATCGCTGCTGAACCTGTTAGCAGTGAGGCAGTGACTGCGTAAGTTGGATCTGTCTATACGTCCATTGCGAGGCTACATATACAAGAGTAAAATAATTGTGAGGGAACTTATGGATTAGATACTCTACTGGCAAAGTACTAGCACGAGAGCTGTGCAATTCCCTAGCTAGCAGGTAGATACTCCGGAGTACTAGATAGAATACTGCTAGCAGCGTCTAGACCTAGAAGGAAGGTCAATTCAATTAGGTATTACTATAGTCTACATTTCTCATAATCCTCACAAATGTCGACATTTCTTTTCAACTGCAGAAAATTCTTTAGTATAGATCTAGATCCGGTATTTTCTTGTGAATAATGAAATCTTTCGGGAATCTCCCGGGGAGATAACCCATCCATCCTGTATAGTTAGTTAACTAACTGCTGATGGAACCCCACCTATGGAATAGGTAGGATCACGAGAGATTCATTCCTTCGCTGTCAATGGTGGGATAATTCATTCCGGACAATTCTCACTAATTAGAACGATACTAAAATAATTGGACTCGATCCATCAATCGAATGATTAAATTAAGTGCGTCGGAACAATGCTGCCGGACCGTTATCCACCGGCAGGATGTACTCCGTATACTCCGTAGGAGTAGGTAAACTCCGCCCTCAGCAGACTGATTTATTAATCCGTTCCTGACTAGTCTAGCCTAGATAATAACCTTCTCTTATCGGTTATCGCCGTTGCGACTGGCCTGCTGATCTTTGCCTGCACTGGGCAGTGATCGTGATTACTCGCGGGTATGACGCTATGGTGGCTGCGAATGCCGCATGCGCTTGCAGTTAGTTTTTCTCCGATGGATAGCTGGCTAGCTAAATCTTCGAGATATGGTTTTTGTTGTATATTACACTAGACAAATACTCTACTTTAATAATGCCTTTAGCTGATGGATTGCATGATGACGGAATTTGAGCTAATGGCGAGTCGACCGACGAAATGGCCTGCTGTGACGAGAAAAGAAGGGTCTTATATTTCTCTCAACTCCGCTGTGCAATTCGGATAATAGACAGCGCAGCAGATAATGTGACAAAATGCTCTGTTGGATACTGCTATCTCTGCTGCTCTTCTGCAGTGTTCATGCCAAACCCCCCGGGGTCGGCCAGCGTCCTCCGCCATGGATCCAATACGACGTTCCTCGCGACTTCAGCAATCCATCCGGTCTTGCTCGACCGTATTTCCGGTACTGGGTGCCCGACGCCGATATCGAGGATGCCGTCCTGAAGGACGACCTCGCGCAGATGAAGGCCCACGGCTTCCACGGCGCCGAAGTCATCTGTCTCGAGAACTATGGCATCGAACCCGCGGTCGTCGACCCAGCCCTCTACGGCTACGGCGGAAAACGATGGTATCAGAAGTTCAACACCATCCTGACCACCGCGCAGAGACTCAACCTGACCGTCGACTTCGCCTTGGGGCCGACGCAGGGCGCTTCCATCCCCATCCTCGACCCCGACACCAAGGGCATGAATACCGAGCTGGCCTACGGCCAGGTCAACTTGACGTCGGGCCAGACGTTCTCCGGATCGCTGCCTCCCCCGGCAAACACCTACGCGGGATATGCGAATAAGCCGGATTTCTATCCCCCGGAGGTGAACTATACGAACACGTTCGTTGCCGCGGTTGTGGCGCGGAGGAGCAAGAGTACGTAAATATCTTTTCTCTATGCAGGAGAGCTGTTTCAAAGTATATCCTGCTGACATTCACAGCCCCCTCGCCAGACCCCCGAGTCACCCAACTCGACTACGACAGCGTCGTCGATCTCACGCCGCACGTCGTCAACGGCCAGCTGAACTATACCGCCCCGGCCGACGGCAACGAGTACATCCTGTTCTCCTTCTGGCAGCGTCGGACCGGCTACCTGGCGGCCCAGGGCGCGTTCAACAACGCCACCAACCCGGACAACCCGGCGTCCTGGTTTGCCTACGTGGTCGACCACTTCAGCCAGGCAGGGACCGACCTGTGGACGTCGTTCACGGAGCAGTATGTCATGGCGGGCGAGAACGGCGACCTGCTGCGTCAACTGGGGGTGTATGCCTGGGAGGATTCGGCCGAGTTCCGCGCGACGCTGTTCTGGACGGACGACTTCATCGCCTATTTCAACCAGTCTCGCCACTACTCGCCTGTGAAAGCGCTGCCGGCGTATTTCGGCACGACCAATGTCCCGCCGAGCACCCTCCCCAACTCGTATTACTATTTCAGCTTTGTGGACGCCAACAACACGGATATCAGCGCCAAGCTGCGCAACGACTACCGCCAGACGCTCCAGGAGCTCTACGAGACGTACCATCTGGACGGGCTGTCCAAGTGGTCTGCGAAATGGAATCTCCAGGGCAGCGTGCAGCCGTATGCCACGGCGCCCATCCTCGCTCCCCCGTGGGATATGAATTCGGCGGCCGCGCACATCGACGCCCCCGAGACAGAATCCAACTACTTCGACGGCGTGATCGACGCCGTGCGCGCGATGGCCGGCGGCGCCCTGCTGGGCCAGAAGCAGATCTTCTCGACGGAGCTGGGGGCGCACCGCTACGAGGCATACGCAATCACCTGGCCGGTTATCCTCAACGACTGCAAGATCAGCTACGCGGGCGGCGTGAACCGCATCGTGCTGCATGGCTATCCGTACTCGGGCTGGCGTCCGGACGCCGAATGGCCTGGTTTCACGACGTTCGAATGGCTGTATTCCGAGATGTGGGGTCCTCGCCAGCCGGCCTGGCAGTACTCGAGGCCGTTCGGCGACTGGATTGCGCGGACGCAGCTGATTCTGCAGACGGGAGTGCCGCGCGTTGATCTGGCCATCTACCGGCATAAGTACATCGACGTCGACATCAAGCATTACGGAATCCCGGAGAATCTCTTTGGCCATCCGTCCCTGGCGGCGGCGGGGTATTCGTACGTCGGGGTGAGCCCGTCGATATTGACGTTGGTAAGTCATCTAATATTTAGCATGTATATACGTATGTGATGGCTACTAACCTTGAACAGGACAACGCTATTGTAACCGACGGCCTCCTGGCGCGCGACGGCCCTGGCTTTTCAGGATTCATCATTGACAATTCGACCAATATCACCGTCGAAGCTGTGACCAGGTTTCTGGAGTATGCGGAACAGGGCTTCCCCATCATCTTCGTGAACACCGTGCCTGACACCACGCCGTATTACTGCCCGTCCTGCGACGAGTTCGTGCGGGCGTCCATCCCCAAACTCCTCCGGTATCCCAGCGTCAAGACGGCCTCGTCGGAAGCAGAGGTCCACTCCATCCTGCTGAACGATCTCAAAGTCGTCCCGACGGCGCAGAATCTCTCCCCAGTGCCCATCTTGTATGTCCATCGCTGGGATGAGCTGAATGGGGTCGACTACTTCTGGACGTACAATTCCGATATCTACAATGACCATGAGACAGAGGTCTCGATTCGGGTGACCAGCAATCGCAGCACAACCAGGGTCATTCCATACCATCTCAACGCCTGGACTGGCGAGATCACGGCCGTCCTGAACTATACCATCGTCAACGAGCGATTCAACCTCTGGGTGTTGCTCAAGTCGAATCAGTCCACAATCTTCGCATTCGCTCCGGAAGGATTCTTTGCCAACGTCCCTGTTCCGCCGGTGCATGTCGTGAACACGACCGTTCCATACCTGCACTATTCAGCATCTGGCAAGAAACTCATTGCACGGACCTATCTCGACAGCAGAGGTGATGCACTCACCCTCAGCGACGGCCGGACCTTCCGGTTCAACAAGACTTCTGCTCATCCGCGTGATATCGCCCTCGGACCGTGGAATCTGACCGTGCAAGACTGGGAGCCCAACCCAGACCCGACGAAGAATTACACCTCAGTGTACACCTACCACTCGTACACGGCGCTTCCGTCGGCACTCGTCCCGTGGTACAATATTTCCGGACTGGAGCACACGTCTGGAATAGGCGTGTACACAAGCAGCTTTACCTGGCCAGTCGTAGCAACGACGAAGACAAACACGACGACTACGACGACTCCGGAAGCAGCAGCAGCAGGGGCATACCTCTCCCTGCCGCGACCAATCTTCCACACCGTGCTCGTGCAGATAAACGGCAAGGAAACACCCCCGATCGACGTGGACGACCCAGTCGTCGACATAACGCCCTACCTTCGCAACGGGACGAACGCAGTCCGCATCGAGGTCGCCAGCACCCTGCGCAATCGCCTGCTGGTCTTCAACAACACGCAGAGCTGGGAGCAGTCGCAGTATGCGGACAGCTATGGTCCGCAGCCGTATGGGTTGGTAGGGACGGTGAAGTTGGTCCCGTTTCGGGAGGTGGAGATTGCGGTTTGACTAGAGGTGGATGTTCCTGGAATCCGTGTTTATAGATCTGTATGCGTCGCGGATGTAGTAGTGTATGTAATACCTACACGTTCATCCAACATCGAGATGCCTCCAACGACATGACATTTAGTAGTACATGTAGTTTAATTGAACGCCTCATTACCGTCCTCAAACATTGAAAGCCTTTTGTAAACTTTATACTTCGCAGATTGTAGGATGCTTGGCCGGAATGACAAAGATAATTGAGAAGTGAAATTACCTGTTTCACTCAAGTCCTGAAACAGCTGATAAAGGATACCTCATTCAGGAATCAGATTCCCCTGCCTTAGGTTATAAATCTGCTCCTTTTTTTTGTGTGTGTATGTGTGTGTGTGTGTATGTGGGCCTCCACGGCTGCTTGGGAACGATCACCCGTCTCGACGACCCGTTCTTATTCCTTCACCCAGATATTATCAGAATCAGCAATCGTATATCATTTGTGTGCAGACATACCATACAAGTTGTGTTGAACTTCCTGCAATCATAGCAACAATGCATTGTTCGAAGTGGTCATGAGCCAGAGAGAGGACGGCAATTGAACCACTCATCAACCGTCCGGAGTATTCCTTATATAATGTTCTTCCTGGTCATGTGGTCGATAATTGTAAGTAGCCTCGTAGGTACACCCCTTGGGATGAAGGTGCAGCCAATCATGTAGGCCTAAGATGATTAGTCACATAGCCATTGCAATATACCAGCGAGCTCGCAATAGCAATACATACCTTTTCGTTGATTCATACCTGAGAATCGTCATCGATGGATTCTCTCTCTCATAGGCAACTGCATTCCTCAGCAGCTCGTAGTGTGCGCTGAGGTATTTCTCCCTGGATGGCCAGAGACAACAGATCTGGTTCGACATCAGAGGAATCACATCGTCATCCTCTGCTTCCCCGGATGATCCCATGACTTCGTCCAAGACAGGAGCCTCTCATTTGAAAACCCGATCCTCATCCGCAGCTGAGGAGTAACTCTCAAGGACATACTTGTGTATGTCATATTAATAGCACCAAATGCCTGCATAACAACATGGTTAAGACATATATAGATCTCTTCCATAAGAGCCCTCATTCTTTTCAAAAGTACTTGGAACACATACAGATCAATGCCAGGATCCCATTCTAGTATTTGGAGATGCTGTATGGATATATCCCTGCCCAGTTTGGCCTCTGCCATTGCTTGAGCTCATATCTCACATCTGTATATCTGTCTAGATGGTCAGGGACCTTAAATTTTGTATGGTGTTTGAGGAATCACATTCTCATCCTCCGTGTGCGTGGATATCTTGATGACCATAATTTTGTCTGAAGTAGTAACCTCTGGTTGGAAGCCCAACCCTCATCAGCAACAGATATATGATATTAACAGCATGATAGTTAACGGTAACCATCCTATGACCTTCCTATGCCAGTGATGAGCCAAATCAGCATGCTTTCTATTAAAGTCGATATTCATGGCATCACTGGGATGTAGTCTACCTGGATAAGTGCTCTGTCGCCTTTTCAGCACCCGGATATACTCTGCATCCTAGTGTGGCAGAAGTGGTTCAGTGTCTCCTTCAGTATTTGTATTTCTTCGACATTCAACTCGATGTCGATTAGTGGTGGTGGTTGCAATGGCAACAGGCGGCTATAAGGGAATGGAAATAAATGGAGAAAACAAGAGAGTGGAAGATTTTCAAAATATATTTCAGCTTGGTTTTTGAAATTTGACGATACGAGTGCAGTGACTTGATGAAGATGAAGAAAAAGAAGCCTCATGGTGTGGGAAAAGCTGCCCAGGTTGGGTGGGCAAGCGAGATCCCAATATGGACAGCACGGGTGCATGTCAGCCCTAGCCCCAGACCTAAGCCCTATGTCTAGGTGCTGACTCCCTGTGCTGTAAATACATGAGACCATTTCATCTTGACATGTTTGAAGAACGATAATGAAACTGTTATCTGAATCTACACCCCATATTAGCGTGGTCAGGACCGATTTTAGACAATATCCTAGTCTGACGAACTCCTTTGATATCTCACAAATCTATCCTATATAGTAGAGGATACTATTAAATACATGAATGGCCCTGCAAGCAGACACGAACACAGAGACTATGGGACCAGTCCTAATGGCCACACAGAGACATCGACCTACAACCAGTAAGCTGGAGACTAAGTACCAAGTACTATTGGGTTATGTAAAATGAGCATGATCTGATGGTCCTAATTTGGATTATGCTCGTCTAAGGCTCAGTTCTGATGCAATTTGATTTGATAAAGAACCCTTAAGGTTACAGCTATGGAATATTCAATCGTCGTAAGTACTCATACTCTTCCCGAGAGCCATTCTTGTGTAGTAGACATTGTACTCTGTCTAGATAGGTAGCTTACTCTAGAAGCCAGCAGTTGGATTTCATCATTTGAAAAGCGAAAAAAAAACAAACGATAAATCCGACTTCTGACCGACACTTTCATCGGGGAAGAACCATTTCATGGGCAAGATGGTCTGATCGTTTGATGCAACCGTCGTCGAGCCCCGTCTTAAAAGTAAACTCCTGATCACAAGACGTAGATACACCAAACAGCCTGATGGCCCAGGAACGCTCCAACCCCCCTGGGAAAACCCCTCCTGTCTTCAGCCAGGTATTCCGGCGATGCAAGAGCGCACAATCCGATCATCCTCCATGCTATCACGTCGTCGTCACGGTAGGTATGATACAATGACTAGACAATCGTCAGATGAAAATCCACTCTTTCATGTCGACTTCGGGGATTTTAAGTCTTCCTGCAAAGGTGTCTTCGACACTGCCGCCAGGCAGGCTTCCGCCTCACTCTGGCCGTGCGATTCGGCTAAGAGAGCGATAGCAAGAATGATCTTCAAGACCTCCATGTCGCGCGCAAATAACCACCAGTCTTATTCTTCACTGTTAGGCCTGCTGGAAGCCAAAGCGCCGGCAGATGGGCCGGTCTTGTCACCGTAGTAGTCGACAGTGAACCTGCGGTTGCTGTCGAGATCCACGAGAGGGTACATGATTCCGACTGCCTCCTCGTAAATGTCAACAAGCCTCTGACATCCCGTTCATTGAGAGCCAAGAGGGGATTGGTCGGGCAGAAGCCTCTTCACATTGGAGAAGAAGCGTCATCGTGATCGACGTCAGCATTCCATTGACGAGTTTGGAATTGTCCGTTTCATCTGCATGGGAATCGCCCATCGAGTGATCAACTCAGAGGCTCTCGGCCATCGCCCACCCTGAGGACAAACGCAAGGATTATCCCAGCAAGATCCTCCATGTGATCTGCGTTATCTATTCTCCATGGCCCATATTGGTGCAATTCAAGAAAGCGTTCAGTTCTGGCCCCATTGGCCAAGTATTTGCGGTAGTGTCGATCGAGCGTTGAGAGGGTCAGGTATATTTCGTTACGCTCCTGGGAGACCAAGAAGATCCTGGAAGGTTATATTCGTATTAATAAAAAGGTCTTGAAAGGAGGAATTTGACGAGTAAACATACCGCCCAGTTTCCGCCGCACCAGGATGATGCTTTTGCAATAGCCACCCAACAATTTGAGCGGCCTCCTGGAACTGAACTTCGGGCAATGCCTGACCCCTTTTTGCAGCTTTGCACTCCACAAGTGCACATACCCTTTCGGGCTCGCCCAAAATACGAAGAACCCCATCTGTCCGCGCCTCGAAATTGTCCTTGCCAAACTTGGCTTTGAAGGTGTACCGACTTACCACCCACCTAGAGAATGAATCTGCTAGTTATTTCCAGCCCTTGACGACCCAGACCCTTATGCAGCATCCTATCGACCCTTCAGATTTAGAGGCAATTGAGAAAGAGGATCCAGATATTCTCAAACTCAGAGACTATGATGCTGAGGTTGCTTGCCGTGTGACCTCTACCTCTAGTCTGAGAGAAAGGATTGCCTGGGAGCCCCAAGCATGTGTGCAGCGAATTGTCATGATTCTTGGAAACCATATCAACCACATCCCCCGGGTGAATATGCCAAAGGGCGCTTATGCTCTTGCCCACCTGACAGATTGGTCTTATGTTTCGTAAGTAGAATCCATTTCTTGACTTAATTATAGATTCTGATGCAGCTTTTCTTTCTTCCCTTAGTGGTGATGAAAACCCGCTCGCAGATGTTTACGTGGGACCCAAGGGATTCAAAAATTATGATCATCCATTAAGAATGGTATTTGAGGTCCAGGATAAGCGCTTTCCACATATTACTATGATTGTGGAACATCATACAAAGGACAAAGCTCAGAACAATACTCTTAGACGTCATGAGTTAGCATATATTCTCAAGGCGATGGAGATTCGTTTTGCTCAACGATTGTTCAATGAACATCAGGAACAGCCAGTAAGTCTTTTCGTAAGACTTATCTAAGTCGCTATACATGCTGACAGAAAAAATAGGTTTTGATGTTATCGTTTACGGTGCCCCAACACGGACGGATTCTGCATGCTCATCTCCTCAATGATACTAAGCTTGTTGTTGCCTGCAGCAATCTGTACAGCTTTGAGACGAACGAAGTGACGCCTTTTGAACTTTTCTATCGCTGGCTTCTTGGTAACCCTACTTGGTAACCCTAGTGGAATGGCGCCTCGTGTACAGCAGTTGGTTGAACATGCCACAGAGAATAAGGATAAAAGTGAGAAGAAGCGCAAGGGAGCCTCTAGGAAGGAGAGTGGCTACAAGAAGGTCAAGAAGGAAAACATCCGACCCTAGTCATCGGCCTTCTCCGATGAAATCCTGTTGCTTTCAGGAGTTACGATGAGAAAGCGACGTCGTCTGTTCTCGGGCTTACCTTTTGGCGGGCTCTGCAGATGTCCAAGAAAACGTGTTTCTTAATATAGCGAGAGAAACTTTAACAGCGAAAAGAAAAAATTTACTTCTTAAAGCTGCCATATCTGGCTGAAAGATGAAAACTCAACATAGGAGGTAGACCCATGGGAGCCAAAAGTCCCTTATATAGACCAGGTATAAGATATTTTTAAGCCAGTTGAACAGAGCAAAATATATATATAAAGCTACTTAGGTACTAATAACCATATTTGTTATTAGTAATATACCCTTATAATAAGTCCTCCCTCTATAATTTATAAATAAAATGATTTAAAAAATCTTTTCTTTTCTAGGAGTTAAATCAATGTTATCGTGTATTAGGTTTAAAGACTACCTAATTTTTTTTTCAGCTACATGTAGCTACTAAAAGCTTACCTACCTGTCGTGAGACGAGGGATCTTTGCTGATGGGCTGTATGAAAGGTCCATTCTTGGACTGTATGGTCACTCCATTCTCTGATCCACTACCCTGTACCTACAGAAATCAGGTTAAGAAGAGAATTTGTCTTTGGCCATGCACAGATATGCATTTACTTGTATGTATACAGTGTACTGTCAGTCAGTATCAATATAAAAGGTCATTCTCTTGGCACCATGCTTCAGGTGAACAATGCTGCCTTGAGCTCACCCAATAATTAGCGGGGCAAATATCTCCATTCTAACCTACGCCAGTTAACAATCTGTGGCAAGTAACGATGCAAATGCTCCAGTGATGTTGTCGGTAACACACCAGTAAAAAACATTTCAGCAGATCGTTATTAATCTCGATAATGTCCGGCCTGACGTAGCGACGACAACACCGGTAACAACTTCCTGTTGGTCTAATGCAATAATGCCACTTGTATACAACATGCAACGCTTGTGCTTGGTCAATTTGTTTATCATTCAAGAAGAGGCCGGATTTCTACCCGCTCCAGATACTATTCTATTGTATACTCTCACAGCCTCAACATCCTCGATGGTCATCGCAAAAACGATGAAACTATGACACAATTCACCCGTTCCTTGAAGTGAGTCACATGTTAGGCTTAGTACAGCATTCTGAAGTAACCAGTGTCGAGCACAGGTTCTTATTCGACGGCACATCGATAGACGGATTCTCCTGGAAGAAATCCACAGGACGGATCGTGATTTGATATGTCTCAACTGGCCTGATAGCGATTGCAGTTAGCTCAGTGGTTTCCAAGAAGGAAAGAGCAAATGCGGCGAATTCAACTTACATCACGGGCCAATCTTCAATCCGGGGATTGTGGGTGATGCCAAACACACTCCAGACGACAATGTCTTCGTTCTGGACCAGATCGCCCCGTTTGACCGCGTCAGACACCCCATCGACCTCGCTCTGGCTCTGGAGCGTATATCGACCACCAGCGTAGAGTTCACCATCGTGGTATTTCGTCACCCACACGTGATGTTGCGCGAACTGGGCTCGCCGAGCCTGAGTCGACTCCGGGTCCGCCAGGAGAAGCTGTGTTGCGAGGGGCGTGAATTTATAGCCCACCGGGTTTCCGCTGATGGGGTTGATCTTGTTGGGATTCACCATCTTGATGACCCGATTGAGCTCCGGAGCGGCGTCTAACCAGCTGGACCGCTGCACGGCAGTGTTTCGGACTTCGTACAGATTACCAGCTGGGTTGGTGGCCTGGTTCATCCTCACCGGGTGCGACTCCTCCAGGTATACCGTATTCTCGTGGCCGTCGATGGCAGGGTCGATTCGCACGCAGAAGAGGTGCTGGTGATTCTGGGCCAGCACCCCGCTGCTCACAACATTTCCATAGTCACTTCGCTTGCCCGGATCAATGCTTACCACACTGAGAATGCCAGTCGCTCTGGTTTCGACGGTGATGCAGCCGGCCTGGTCGAACCTGTAGGCGAAAACATACTCGTAGTTGGCCAGCGTGACGATGAACTGCACCACAAGCTCCCTGTTCCGCACAACCACGGCACGTCCCGTTCTCCAATTCGTGTGCTTCCAGCCGATGCCATTGTCCTGTTCATGAAGACAGATCACGTTTGGCGACACCTTGGCCGTCCCATCGCTCTCCGTGACAACACCATCGAAGTACTGTTGCCAGAAACCCCCATCAGACACATCTCTCTTCCATAATTCACACACGCATGAATCTAACCTTAATGACACCCAAGCAATCACAACCCAGGGATAGGTTGTTCGCGCAATTACCGGCACCACCATCACCAAAATCAAAAGCCTGCTTGCGATGGTACGGTGGCCTCGGGTCCGCATAAGGAACCGTCTATTCAAAAAAGTCAGCTTCAGCTGGCTTATCCACACTGTATATCTCCTCATGTGAATTACCCACCATCTCGCTGATACTGAGCCGGTAAAGCACACTTCGCCCATCGTACCAGACATCATGAATGGTTGCACCTTCGCGAGAGTTGAACCCAACCCTGAATCGCCACTTCTGCCATTCCACCAGAGACTCATCCGTGACTCGAAACGACGGACCTTCCGGCTGGAGAACATTGAGTGGCTTCAGGTCCTTCCTCGTGGGTTTCTCCAACAGTTCGGGGATATATTCACCCGGCTTGCAATGACCGATGATGTCTTCAGGGAAAGTCTGGTCCGTCAGGCCATCACCTTTCCCACCGGTTGCTGGTCTATCGACCCGGATAATCTCGCGCTTATGCACATCCATGACGGGGATGATGGGCAACGGGTATGCGTAAAAGTTGGAGTCTGGGTTCTTGGACCGTGTGTCTTGCGCAAAGACCAGTCCTTGAAAGTAACGTCGATCCTCGTCCTCCCGATCCAAGCCGCCATACGGCCACGGATCGATGACGATTTCAAATCCATCTGGGAGCTTGAACTCGGCGAGAGCTTCCTGGAATTTGGGCGAAGTTTTGCAGACCTCAATAAGGATGTCGAACTCTGCTCTTATAGAGACTTGGTAAGTACAAAAAACAAAAAAATAAAATTTCACTGTGCTTACAGTGTCAAACTAGCATGGTGATGTTTCCCAACGACGAGGTGGTGCACGCGCTGCCTCTTTTCAACGTCCACGAGCGATTCGTGATACGCAGGGACTTTGTCAGAGCCAATGACATCGTACTGACACTTGGCCAGACGCGCTGGACGGGGGCTGGTCTGGCTGAGTGTTCCGGAGTGCTCCAGCGCCAGAAACTTGGTGAGCTCTGCCTTGGGCGGTTCCTGGAGAAAGATCTGGCGGAAGAAGATGACCTTGCCGGGATAAGAGGCGCGGATGACATCTCTGGCGACGTTGGCTTCGTCCACCGACAAAATCTCCAGTGGATGACGCATCTTGGACAGATCCTCCCATCTCCTGTTTCAGATCGCTGGTGGTGCGCTGGATACAAATACGTAATTGCCACCAGTGCTGGATGGGCTTCTCCCTGGGGGATCACCCGTCGGGGTAACTGCGGTTAAGAAGAATAAGAGATACTGGAAATCTCTTCTTATCTGGCAATCATCATGGTTACTGTCCCGTATCTTGTGAGATTGCAGGCAGTTGTTCTTCGGAATCGGAAATGGCGATCGCAGATCTCGGAACGCGATTCCGAATTCCGGCGCGGACAATTCCGCCGCCACAGCGAGATATGATTGGTTCGAATTGCCTTGTTTTGGAGCTTGCGGGGAATCTCCACTTTTGACAGCTGATCTAGTGTATACAGAGTACGCTGCATATCGAATTAGTAGAGTATGGTGTAGGAGTATGGTATATGCCAACTTGCTACTACCTCGTAAGAGGCAGGAGGGCGTTATCAGGGCCAGTCGTGGAGCTTGCGATTTTAACATGACGCATCAACAATGATTTTCTCAGGGGATATCCAAAGGAGTTTAATTCACAGGCCTACTGAGGAAGGAAAGGAATCGGCTGCTAATGATTAAGCTCAAATGAATTTACGCAATGATTCAAATGAATTATGACAGATAAAAGGAACGACCAGTCCCTACGAATTTCACCCGTTTGTATAGACATACCACATGTGATATTCCAACATAACTGCATAGTTAGGGGAGATAATACTAGTCCTCCAATTAATTTCATGCCCCCTATGCAACTACTGCGTTCTGCATGTACGTATGTACATGCATACAGTATATCCCTTCCAATCCATTCAGAGGGTATAATGGCCCGGCGAAGGCGGAACCTCGCCGGTCTCCCAGAACTTCATCTCGGGGCCGAGCTCAAACTCGATCGTGCCGCCGTCCACCATAACGTCATCGTGCGTAAGCCAGTTCTTCGTCCAGGGCTGGCCGTTGACCTTGACGCTCTGCACGTAGTACCCCTTGTCCAGCCCCGTCGCGGTGATGCGCAGCGTCTTGTTGCCGTTGACGGTCATGTTCAGGTCCGGGAACCACGGCGAGCCCAGCAGGTAGACGGGCTGCGTCACGACCGGGTACAAGCCGACGAGCTGCCACAGGAGCCACGAGTTCATGGCGCCGGCGTCGCTGTTCCCGGGGATGCCGTAGGGGGCGTCTTTGTAGCTGCTTTTTCGTTAGTCTAAGGGCAGGTCTCTCTCAATTTTGATCCTATTAGGAGTGAGGACAGAGCTTACTATTGGTTAGTAAGGCTTCTTGTCTGCTGCACGCTCTTGGCCTGCTTGTTGATGTAGTTGTAGAGGTAGGGCGTCATGAAATCGGGCTCGTTTCTGGATCATCATCTTCTCAGTCATGCTGCAGTGTCGTCTGGAGGGAGAGTACAGGCTTGCTTACCCGATGTTCATCAAGGTTGTGATGCCCGCACCATTAGCTCCGAGATTTTGAACGGCCACGCCTGGTTTGAACTGCTGCAGTGTCAGCTCCTCTTCCTTTCTGGATAGAACTATAGACAAAGATAAAGAAACAAATGCCTACCATCAGGTCTAATCGCGACTCGAAAGTGCTTGGGCCACCCATGAAGTCAATCAGGGTTTCCATATCATGTGGCACGGTGAAGGAATATTCTGTTGTTGTTAGGTCAGATGGAGCTCAGCAGAGACGCAGATTAAAGGACAGAACAGAGACGCTGTACTCACCCCATGGAACGGCCTCGTAGGAAATGGCATGCCACTCGCATTCGCCGCAGTACAACGGATCGTAACCGCTCGTGTTGAACGTACCATTGGAGAATCTCGGCGCAAGGAAACCGGTAAAGTTCAGGCTGGTCTGGTTGTGGTTCCAGATCAGCTGCCAGCCGGCCGATCGCTTCAGGTACTTCTGCTGATCGCCAGGGCTCTCTCCTGCAGCGACCTGGCTCAGCGCGAAGTCGTTGAGACTGTATTCCACGGTTCGCGAGATGCAGCGCGTGTTGCGGTCTTGCGAGACGTAGCCCAGCTCCAGCCAGTCGGCCAGAGCACCTCTTCCTTCCTTCGTGCTGGCCGAGTAGTCTGTGGGGTCGTAAGTGTTGTACGGCACCACCTCGGCGTCCTTCACCATCGCTGCGTAGCCGTCGGTCCAGTTGATGGCCCCCCGCAGCCCTTTGACATAGGCGTCGGCGAGGACGTTGTCCGCGTTCGAGCCTCCCTGCACTAATCCATTCCAGTTGCCAGATCGTCCATCCGGTAAGAAGCCTTGGTATCTAAGAGTGGGTTATTGTAAGTCTCACTGCATGTATTCTTCCACAGTCACAGCGTCGTTGCTCACCTGTATATGTCAATGAGACCCCGGATCATCGACTCATAGTACTCCGGCTGCAGGATGTGATAGAAACTGACGGTGCAGCGGAAGATGTCCCCTGCAAAAAGTGTCAGTCACCTGCTTCGTCACTGGGAAAAAGACCGAAACTCACACAGAGTGTAGAAGTCGTCCCAGAATGGCTCGCCTGAGTCCCAGAGAGGATTTTCCCCAGTACGGTTCGAGGGCATCAGGTGCATGAAATACAGCGAGCTGTAGAGGAGTCGTAGGTTGGTGACGTTCGCCGAGCCGTCAATCGGAACCTGGATCTTGCTGAACACGTCCCGGTTCCATTCCTGGACCGCGTCAGCCACGGTGTCGTTCAGGTTCCACGACGGGATTTCGGAGTCGATGTACGAGCGAGCTTTGTCGGTCGAGATGAAAGAGATCCCTATCCTCGAGACGATCTGAGACGCTGGGCCGTCGTTCCAGCTGAACAACGCCCCCACGCGGTGGTTCATCGGCCCCGATGTCACTTTCGTCTGGTTGCCGAACACGGGCTCGCTAATTCCACCGTTTGCCAGGTTCTGATACCGAGGCATAGGGTCAGTGTTCACTCCGGAGAACGTCTGCGCTATGCTGGGAGCTTCGGAAAACTCTGCATAGAAGTACACGGTGTACGGAGCGCCTAATTCTCCTCTCAGCCCAATTCCTCTTAAGAAGAATGTCGATCGACAAACCATTGTTCCATCCGCCAATGTAGGTGCCATATCCTTGATATGACTTGCCATCACTCCCAATCTCGATCTCCCCTCCAACGTAAAACTGGGGGCTTGGATCGCCGGGGTTGCCCGGAAGATACTGGTGCTCTGATAAGCGGCTGGCCTGGTATGACTCCTACACGACGCACTTACATGAGAGACATCAACGAGGATGTGCTTCTCACCGCTTGGGAACGAGTACTGCACTATCCCGGCATGTTGCGAAGCGGAAAGTTCAGCGGTCACACCGTTCTGCAAGGATGTCTTGAAGTAGCCCACGGTAGCGGTGTCATTGCCCACCTATTCTCGTCAGCTCTAAATTACTGGACACGTAAAAGCAAGCTGCACTAGAACGTACTCGAGGCTGGCTGTAAGTGAGATTGTCGAGGATATTGACCGGGGGATCGACGGACGTGAGAGGCATCTGCGGAATTATGCCGTATTTGGGGGCGCCGCCAGTGCCGCTCTCGTGCATCATGCCTGGACAGAAATAATTGTCAACGAAGACTTCTTTATGCTCTGATTGCATGCATACAGCAAACTCACTTATTGCAGTCACATTCCCGTCCGGAGTCCAGCCCCCATTCAGGACCGCAATGCTCCAATTCGCCGCAGTGGTGTCGATGCCGAACTTGACGACGCCGAAAGGACGCGCGCCGCCGACGAAGATGTCGCCTCCTCCATAGCCTTGCCCTGGAGTGGGACCTTCAGATCCCATGAAGGCGTTCACATATTGAGAATAGTCCACCTGTGCAGCTGCCACTGCTGCCAGGGTCGAGACTGAAAACAACGGATGGAGACGCATGGAGACGAGGGACTGCAATCACTCGCGAAGGACCCCAGACCGCAGTATGGTTCCATATCCGGGGTCGTAGGAAAGGCTATATTGGCGGCCTATTTATACATGTACTTGGTGAGCACTGAGAAGAAAAGGTCGCATTCCATACCGGATGGATGCAGACGGCGCATTGACATCACTGCACCTCATCTGCAGGCGCACGGAATATCCATGGATATCCTGATTTATTTTTTCTCCGTGCCTCGACGGACTATGAGGCCTATTACCCCACATCATCGGCACAAATCCGAGCTTGGATGACTCTTGAGAAGGATGACGGAGATATCTGTATCTGTGCTCCGGAGAAACCCAAATGACCATAACTAGAGATATAAAAAGCCAGTTAAAAATCAGCACGCCGCTTTTTATTCTGACAAGCAACTGCAGCTCGACATACCATAGCAACTGGTCTCAACTCAGGTCGCAATGCAGTCAGCCAGCATCCTTGCGGGGAAAGTATCGAGGGCTCAACCCCGCGAGCAAAATACTCCGTCGTGTGGGGGTCGGTGGATCTCTGGACAAGACATTCAACCGCGTGGCTGCGCTAAGACGGACGATACGAGCAGCGATCGACAGTGGCGACGGAAACCAAGATCGGAGAGCGGTTAAACCTGGAGGGGGAAAGGCAAAAAAAGGCTTATCCCTACGGCATTGCTGTTCGGAGTTTCTCTTCGCTACTGACCTTCCTTCTCGAGCATTGGGCTTGATGTGGTGACGTCGATGCCAAACTCAGACCTTACGATGTTTCAAATACAGTCGTACTTCGGAAATAGACCGCAAGAGAGACCTGAAACGAAGTAGCTGAATAAAGAAAAATCCATTCAAACCCAATAAACTCCAAAAACAAAAACACATCATCACCACACCGCACATATAGTCATAAACCAATCCAGCCTTGACGCGTGCCTAATCCAAAGCTAAAATATCCACGTTATTCCCATATCATCCGTCCCTACATTATTCACAGAGAAGAAGACCAAAAATCATCAACAGAGGCTGATCCTTCATTGTTGTCGACCAGTGATGTAGTCCCGGTTCTCGATCGTGACGCTCTTCGTCATGTGATTGACCTTGTATACTCCGACAAGACGAGATGCAAGTTCAAACTGGAGACTCTTTAGCGGCGAAGTTCTACAGGTAGGAAGGAGTGTCGAGTGCAGCTCACCATGTTGTTTCGGAGAGAAATGACGATGAACTGGGCATTCTTGGTCCTCTCCTTGATGTAGGAAGCAACAATAGAGACCTACACAAGAATGTCAGCGCATGTTCCTTCTCATCACGCATAAATGGGGAGAGAAGAGTGCGTCACGCGGTTGAAACTTACATTCCTGAAATCCAAAGCAGCGTCGATTTCGTCCATAACGTAGAGAGGAGTCGGCTTGTAGTGATGCAAAGCAAACACGAGCGCGAGACTAGACAGTGTCTTCTCGCCTCCCGAGAGGTTGCTAATGTTCTTCCAACTCTTCTTGGGAGGCATCACAGAGAACAAGATACCCTCCGAGAACGGATCAAGAGAGTCGACAAGCTCCAGCTCTGCGTTGCCACCCATGGTGATCATCTGGTACATCTCCTTCAGGCGCATGGAGATAATACTAAAGCCCTCCATGAATCCTGTCAAACGGGCGGATCGAAGACTGTCGAGGCGAGCCTTGGCATTGTCTCGAGCTTTCAGCGCCTCATTCAAGTCCGCAGAACGCGATTCGTACTCAGCAACACGACGGCGGTACTCTTCGATGACTGACAGGTCGACAGAAGCGTTTTGCGTTTTCTCCTCTAGGGCAGCAATCACAGCTTTGAGGGACTCCTTGTTCATCTCCGCGAGTTCGTCTCTGGTGTAAGTCTGCAGCTCCGTGATCTGCTGCTCTTCACCCAAGTCGTTGATATTCTGCAATGACAGCTTGGAGAGTTTCTCCTCCCAGTATCGCATTCGCTTCTGATTTTCAGCCAGGACTTTCTGGTTCTCCTCCAGCTTGTTGCGCATCTCAATCTCCGCCTTCCGGGTCTCATTCAACTCCGCGATCTTCTCGTCAAGCTCAGCCTTGAGGGCTTTCAGCTCACCCTTCTTTGTCTCGAGAGCCTCTTGAGCCTCTTCGGCTTTCCGTCTCGATCCCGACGCATCGCTGGCTTGATTCTTCACATCATTGTTGAGCTGCTCGATCTCCTCAAGGACCTGTTCGATCTCTTTCTCGGCGTCTAAACGAGCTTTCTCGTGTTTATTGATCAGTTTCTCGTTTTTCGACTTGGCAACTTCGGCGTTGGAAATCTCCTCAACAAGCATGCTGATCTGTTCTTTGAGGCCATCGACCTTGGCTTTCTGGCTCCTCAGTCTAACACCGCCGACTTCCATGATCCGGTTCTGGAGAGTCTGAATCTCCTCCTCGACACCGGCCATCTCATTCCGCAATGACTCGATTTCCTTCTCCAGGCTTGCAATCTGTTTCTCCAGCACTTGAGCCCGGTTGTCATCAGCTTTCGATGGTTTGTGTTCTGCGCTCAGCTCTTTGACACGTCGCTGGGCATCGGCCAGGCTTCGACGGGCGCTCTCAATTTCAATTACAGTCTTCTGGATTTTAGTCTCCAGTCTCGGGATTTCATCGGACTTCTCCCGAATGGAGGCCTCCAGTTGCCGCTGCTTCTCCTGGAATGCATGGAATTTCCGCTCCATCTCATCTCGGTCTTGTTCGAGCTTCGCCACCTGCTCCTTCGACGTCTCGGCGACCGGCTTAGATGACATTCCGCCCCTTGCAACACGAGTGCCACCACCAGTCATGGTACCAGACATGTCGATCAACTGCCCGTCAAGTGTGACAACCCTCCATCGTCTAGCACCATAAGCAATCCTGTTTGCTTGTTGCAAGTCATTGGCTACCAGTGTGTTTTGCAAAACACTGTAGAAGGCAGGTGCAAATTTCGGGTCCTTGGGTTTGACCAAGTCAAACAGTCGTGGAACATTCTCAGGAGTGTTGATGGAAGACATATCTCTCTTAGGGAGTCGGTCCAAGAGGATAAAGTTGGCACGCCCGAGATTGTTCTTGCGAAGATAGTCAATGCATTGCTGACCAACTTCAACGCTGTCGACAACCATATTGTCAAGGGCGGGGCAGGCGGTCGAGATCGCGACATCATATTTCTCATCAATGGTTCCAAGGTCTCCAAGTCTACCATGGAAGCCATCAATACGACCGGACTCCTTTAGTCGCATCAGTCCAGTCAACACACTACCCCTATTCTGGGTACTGGCAAGACTGGCCCTTGCTTCCTCCGCCTTTTGCCTCGCGCTGGAGACCTGAGTACGAAATTCAGGTTCCTTCTGTGACAGTTTCTTCAGGTCATGCTGCAAGCTTGCAAGTTCGCTCTCAAGATTCGCTTTCGCCGCACGTCGTTCCTCGAGTTCGGCTTCCTTCTCGGACAGGGTCTCTTCAATAGAAGCAACTTTGGACTGCGCCTCTTCCAAAGCTTTGGCACCAGCGTTGCTCTTTTCCCGCAAGATATCCAGCTCACTTTGGGCCACCGCGACGGCGGAAAGCTTTTCGTTGATCTTTTCATTCCACGGTTCCAGGGACTTCTGCTTCGCAGCTATCTGCTCAGAGAGGCCTTGGGTCTTGCCCTTCAATCCCTCCCGAATGGAGGAAAGCTCCTCTTCTTCCGCCTTCATCTCTTTCTCGAGCTTCGCAATTTCTGCCGACTTCTTCTCGATATCGTAGGTGTACTTTTCGACCAGACTAGTGCACTCGGAGGCGGCAAGACGGCTTGACTGCATTGTCTTCTCCAGCTTCTTCTGCTTGCCAGTCAAGAACTTCCTCTTCTCTTCAAACTTGACCGATTCCTTATCATATTTTGCCATCTCTTTGATCATAGCCTGTGTGGCCTTTTCCATGTTTTCATATTCTTTCATGCCGCGCTTGTAGGCCCTCTCGAGCTCTTTGATGCCGGATTCGCTACCTTCATGCTTCTCAAGCTCCAGGTTCAATAACTCCTGCATCTGCACGATAGCTTCTTCCGTCACTCGTATGTTGTCTTCACACTCAGCGATGTAGATCTGGTAGAGAGCCGACTGCTTCATGACGAGCTCGTTCTCGTCTCGGATGTAAGCCAGAGCCTTGTTTTTCTTGTCCTCCAAATTGTTCTTCTCCTTTTCGACATGCTGGACGCGGTTATTCTTCTCAACGCACACGTCATTCAGATTCTCAACTTCTGCGGCAGCTTCTTCGATCGGCACCTTGTACTTTGAGGTTCCAATGATGTCCTCCAAATATTCCAAGAGTCCATCCTCGTGTTCGTTTGCCGCCTTCGGCTTCATCTGCGCGATAGACTCAACCTCGCCCTGTAAAATCAAGAAACGTTTGTGATCCAGATCAATTCCACGTTCGCGCAAGAAATCTGTCACCGCTGTGAAGTTCGTCTCTTTCTTATTCATGTAGTACTTGCTGGTGTTGTTCTTGAAAGCTCGTCGGGAAATTATCAGCTGAGAATCCGGAACGACCTCGTGAGCGCCTCCTGGAAGATCAATGATCTCCTGAAAATGGACCTCAACCTCGCAGAAAGGCAGATCTGGGAAATTCGCTGAGTTATGAATCAAAGCAGAAACTTTTGCCTGTCGCATCTTGCTTGCGCGAAATCCGAAAACAAACAGCAATGCGTCAATAACGTTTGATTTTCCGGACCCGTTTGGACCGACAATTGACGAGAAAGAGACGTGGAAAGGCCCGACAACCTGTCTCCCTGCATAACTCTTGAAATTGGTAAGCACAAGATGGGTGATAACCATGCGCGGACGGGGCCCTTTCGGCTCTTCTATCGTAGGCATAGCCAAGGAACGTGACTTGATCATAATGTCCATCGGCTTCTCTAGTTTCGTAGACATCGGGTTGATGATTGATATCTGCGACTTCGGCTCCTCGGGTCGTTTTGAAGGCGACGGCGTCTTATTCACGGCTGATTCGGTGATATCGGCAAGAGGGCTGGCGGCATCTCTGTGCGACCGAGATGAAGGCTCGGGCGACGCTGAAGGAGACGGCGTAGGAAGTGAGGATAGCTCCGGGGTTGGAGTAGCGGATGTGCGACTCTTACGAGAATTAGCAGCGCTTTTTCGCCTTTGAACAGCACGAACACTGTCAGATGGCGATTCAGGCTCTTCCGCCGGCGCTGCAATAGTACTTTGCTCCTCCTCCGCCTCCTCGATGCTCTCAGCGACCTGTGATGAATCCATATCGTCCCCAGCCGTTGTTCGTCGTCCGCGTCGTGACTGTCGCCGTGCGCTAGGTGTGGGTGCATCTGCTGTCTTTCTCCGCCCTCCCTTTTTCGCAGCGGGTTTTTTTGCGACTGGCGTATACTCGTCCTCGTGCTCGTCGTTCTCATCCACGTTCGATGGTGTGGGGGTGACATTTCCCAATTCATCGTCCTCGGAAGGCTCTTCAATAACAAAACTCTTCCGTGAGGCAGCGCGCCGCGACGGCCTGCTCTTCGCTATCGAGGCCATGTCGGGATAGTTGTGTTGATTGCGAGGGCGCGATGAAGTTGGCAAGATGACTTGTCGGCCGTCGCTCTCTGTGCTTTGTTTTGGCGACGCCGCATTGTTTACTTCGCAGCCAAAAGAGGAAAGGTGCCACTTTTCTGCCGCTCGGATGCGCTCCCCCGCTCACCGCCCGGCTGAGGTCAGCATCGCCGTATTGTATCGTTACTCGTCTCAAAGACACAAGGTGCTGGCTCCAGCTTGATTTCGTCTTTCCACGGCCATCCGCTTCTCACACGATAGGATGGCTCCCTGGGAGCAGTTCGAGACGACCTTCTATTTCAACAAGGATTTCACCTACGATGGGAAGGTCGTGGACCAGATCCTTGCGAGCCGTCGCGCTCTTGAAAATCAACTTTTTGTTGATCGGCTGCTGAGCCTTCTGGGTGTCAAAGCAGGTATTGCTACTTGGGATCGATTTTGATTCATTGTGCGGATCTAATTGCGGAGTCTTTTAGTCCAGAAAATATATCCTCCAAGAACCAATCAAGACCTAAGGAACCTGTATCAGCAGATTGTTTCGTCGTCGTTTCCGAGTCACCACAAACAAGCGTTGATTTACTACATTCTCAGAGATTGCCGCGGGGCAAGTGATGCCAGTACGCAGTTTGCGCGGCGATCCTATCTTCCGGAGAAATACAGACTGTTCATAGATGGACTTTGGCATCTGGATCGATTAGAATTTCGAGTACGACCACTGGCCACATTTATCTCGGATATTAGCTAACTTCTGCCGGATATAACAGCGAGCCCTAGAATATCTCACGGAACCGTCTCTCATACCGACCTTCCCAGATGAGATCCTCTATGTCCTGACTCTTCAGAAGCTCCCGAAGCATGATGATAGTCTCGCAATAGCATACTACCTTACTGTTTCTCCGCCACTGGCGTCTGAAAAGGTTCAGCAAGCGTTTTTCGAAACGCTCTGTCGTGCTAGCATTACGGAAGCGTTTTTCTTCAGTCGGAAGCATGAGGACGACCGCCGTCGCCGATATCTCGAACAGCTCGTGTTGTTCGTCCACCAGACCAGTGCGGGGAAGGTCAGAGGGGACCGAGCGATTGAGCTCGTAAACCTTCCGTTCGATGAACAAGAAGAGCAGTGGTTTGAGGATTCTCTGCTTCATGGAAAGGCATCAACGTTACCAGGCGCGAAAGATACGGTGATGATGCGACGACTCGCCACGGGAAGACTGCAGAATCTATCCGCTGAGGTCGAGTCTTTGGGTGGGAAGAAAGTGGACGGCATCAATTGGGATGACCTCCGCCAGAGCATCGATCGGCATGGCCCTCTCGGCGCTACACTTAGCCATAGCGATCAGGTTACGTGACTGAGGTTTCTTGGCTGTTATCCTCTGGGTCAGCGGGAACGGAGTTCTAGGTGGGCAGGTTGTATTGCTTATATGGGTCTTCAATGGGATTCAAGTAACTGAGTTTCAATTTCGTATTGCCTCCGTGGCGAGATACTGCTTCTTGTAAAAACACGGGAGATTACGTAAAAGTAAAAAATAAAAAGAAAAATAAACAATAATAGTTCAGAGCATTCTCAGGAATATGACTTTTCATGCAGTCAAATGATAGTGGTGAGGCGAGGAACAAGCTCGGTCTTTTCCGCAGCGTCAAAAATATATAACTTGTGGCCAAGAGATCTATCACGGTAATCTTAACAAACGTCACTCACATTTGCAGGTCATCTCTAAAAACGTCAACTAGGACGCACTGCAATTCTGTATCGACAATTAGAAGTTAGTTGACCGCAACCTCTGTCGTGCCTTTGATATAGCTTAATATTAGTGGGTGCGGCGATTTCCGGGGTGAGGCGCCAAAACGGAATCGACAGCGCGCGCAGATCAACTTTAATTCCAGCACTAAGATTCAAACCGCGCGACTAGACGACCAACGAATGCCGCATACGTAGCTGCTACACTTCAGCAAGATGGTCGTCTGTACGTACTTTCAGCAAGGACGCTGCAGGTTTGGAGGTATGATTCGTGACTGGAGGATGGATGGCGCATTGTTTGTTTCTGAATAATTTCGCCTCGCTGACTGCTTTGCCCAGAGCGGTGCAAATACGAGCATCCTGGCCATCCCACGGCCGGGTCCTCCAATCGTTTCAGCGCCCTGCAAAGCTCAGGTGCAAGCTCAGCTTCATTTGGAGGAGGTATGTCTTGCATTGTTCCTATTCAGTTGCTATTCAGATCGTGTTGTGTCACATGAGCCCCTCCATTAAATCCACGAGCGAGCAGTGAATGATCGTACTTCGTTTGCCGCTAGCCTCGGCCATTCCTGAAGAAAACCTCTGATCATATTCCTATTTCCCATTATCATGTGCCCCAGAATGCTTTTCAATCTCTTCGTTGTTAGTTCTGTGTTCTATTATTTGTGAAGCTACTGGATGATCGCCCTGAATAATCTCTTGATCTCTTGATACCATTTATCCCGAAGTTATTCTCGCAATTCGTCATGTCAATGTTTGAAAATACGGTCTTTATTAACCCTGATGTCTGGAAAAAAGGTCGGCAAAAACAGCAACAGCAAAACAAGCTTCAAACGTAGGTAGCCCGTTCCATCGTCCGTTTGATGCGATAACTGACTGCTTCCCAGTTACGCACTAAACGCTGATGATATCAAACATGATCTGACCGCCGGAAAGGGACGACCAGAATGGATCTTCTCAGCTTACGGTCCTGGGAAGAACGCACCCAGGCAACTTTTCGGAGGACCTCAGCGCGAGCAGAGTTTCGAGGAGATGCGGTGGCGTCATTACCAGGCAGCGGCAGCGGGCAATGCAAACCAAGCTATCCAAGAAGCCCAGAACTTGTATGAAGAGGCGTTGAGGCAGATCTCTTTTGCTTTGAATGACGTGGAGGGGGCTCTGAAATACATCCTCGAAGGAGAAAACGAGCATCCGAACCGGATTGACATTGTAGAACGCAAGAATCTCAACAAACCGTCGCCATTTGGTCAAGCTCCCAGTGCTTTCAACCAGCAAGCAGCGCCTTCATCGACGTCTGTATTTGGCAAACCAAGTGCTTTTGGTCAGCCCTCGACCGCTACGTTTGGTCAGCCTTCACCCCTGGGTGGTACTCAGCCGGCATTCGGTCAACCTTCAAGTCTGGGACAACAGGGGCCTGCGTTCGGACAGCCATCTACCTTGGGTCAAGGCTCTACATTTGGAAAACCATCCGCGTTAGGAGGCCAGCCTGCCTTCGGGAAACCAGCATTTGGACAGCCAGCCTTTGGTCAACCGTCTGCTCTCGGCACTTCGGGCTTTGGCCAGCCAAGCAATGTGTCTCCCTTCAGTCAAATATCTGCCCAAAATCAGGGGGCCTCTGGCTTCGGCCAGCCTTCTGCGCCGGCAGGTCAGACGACTGCTTCTCCGTTTGGTCAACCGTCTGGACAGACATCGGCTTCGCCGTTCGGGCAGCCTGCGGCCGCAACGGGGTTTGGACAGCCATCCGCAATGCAGACTTCCACCGGCGGATTTGGGCAGCCGTCACAAGCTCCATCTCCCTTTGCCCAGGTGCAGCAGCAGCAACAGCAGCAACAGGCTGCGAACCCATTTGGTCAGCAAGGAGCAGCTGCAAGCCCATTCGGTCAGCCTACGAGTCAACCGGCCACTACTACGACGACTACGACTACCACAACTACTACCGCACCCGCGCCCAGCGGCCCCCGGGTTGGCATTGGGCCCAAACCACTGCTCAAAGTGGGCGACAACGAGCTCAATCCGCTCCCCAACCTCAGCGGCCAAACCGTCCGCGATCCGGTGACGCAAAAGCTCACGATGTGGAAGGGCCGGCCCGTGAAATACAACGACGAGGATTGGCCCTGCTACCTGCATCCAGACGACAACAAGACCTGGGTGCGCATCTTCTTCCCGGACGGACCACCCGAGCAAGGGAACCTGAAGGACGTCGAGGCGAAGCCCGAGGAGTACACTCCAGAGGTCACGGAGCAGTACCAGTTCTTCCTGCAGAATGGGTATTTCAAGGACGGCGTTATTCCGAGCGTGCCTCCGAAGGTGGAGTGGATGGGGTTTGATTTCTAAATGCTTGCTTCCTTAGACTTTTCCCAGGAGTAATAATAATGTGTACTGTACATACAGATCAGAATTGTGGGACGAGGGAGTTTTGCAAGGAATCATGGTTTTTGTTTTCCAGGGGAAAGGGAAATTATCGGGCCATTTTTTTCCTTTCTTCGTTTTATATTTTTTTTGTGGAGTCATCACGGTTGGGGTTTTTGCCATACTGGGGGGATTTTACTGTAAAGTGCAAATATTGATTGAGACATGGGTATTTTGGACCGAAGGAGTTCTGTTCTCGAGCTTTTTTTGGTCTTGAGAGGGGAACAAAAAAAATTGGACAGAATAATCTTCTTTCTTCTGGTATATTTCGTCCTTGTTTTTCTTTTATTATCTATTTCTGTTCCTTGTCGGTCATACAAGCTACCGCAACGAGCACCTTCACAGATGCAATCGCCGTAGAATAATCCCGAGGAGGCCACATCCAAGATGCAAGCGCAGTACCAGCCCGCATACACCAGAAAGACGTCTTTTGTTTTCTTTTTTTTTTTCAAGGTCCAAAAGACGACAAACCGTTTAAGCAGCAATGGTAACCTCAACCTCAACACCAGCCTCAATGTTGATGATGATCTGCTTGACGGTCTCGGTGGGGGCGTGAAGGCTAGATAGAGTAGGAATCGAACCCGTCAGCATGCAGGAAGACCCCAGGATCTGATATAAGAATAATATAAATGGGGGAAAACTCACTCAATCAGACGCTTGTGGATGCGCATCTCGTACTTGTCCCAGGTCTTGGAACCCTCACCACAGGGCGTCTTCCGGGTGGAGATCTTCAGGTGCTTGGTGGGCAGGCGGACAGGGCCCTTGACGTGGAGCGACTTGGAGCGCGCGCGCTCAATCAGCTCCTGGCAGACCTTCTCAAGGGAAGCGACCTTGCGGGAGCTGAGGGTGATACGGATCTTGTGGATTTTCTGCAGCGCAAAGACGGTAATCATCAGAATGGAGGTTCATAAAATAATAATAAAGATAATACTTCGACGTTCTCGCGTGTCGTCGCGACAATTCAGAACTGAAACAAACATACCGGGCCCTCGCCGAACTCCTTCTCGGGCTTCTGGAAAGACATCTTGATATGGTTTGCGGCGGCGGCGCTTTACACTGGAATTGAATTGAATTGAATTGAATTGACTGAGATACACCCATTAGCTTGGCCTCATCCGGTCATAATGCTAAGGTAGCTGTCAACACATACGTTGTGGAAGTTGAGGCTGGAGCCAATCACGACCTGAACAACGAGGTTCGGTAAGGTGATGAAAGGCACTTGAGGTTGAGGGGGTTGTGGTTGAGGATCGGAGGAGCAGCGATCTTTTCTCTTTGATAGATACTCCGTTGAGTTTAACCGGTTTGCATTATCGGGTGTTCTGTGTGGATTGCAGTCTTGGCACTCGGTTAGTGCTGCGCTAGCCGCATCGGGTGTCCGCGTGCTGACTAAGCAGATACAGTCAGCCATGGCCCGGAGAAACAGCAGCAGCAACATCTCCATGCTGGCGAAGAGACGTATTCGGGAGGTGAAGATGATGAGCGCCGCTTGGTTTTGCTCCAAATTCTGCAGTCCTGATATTAGTTTACTGTGCGCCACTTGAGACCTTCCCTGCTGCATGACCACAACTCTCTAGACCATGGAATTACCACCGCTGGCGCCAGTCCCACCATCCCCCGTGCGGAATCACATCCCAAATGAGGAATGGGAAGCATGTCTGGATGCGTGGATCGCACTCACTGAGCTGCGCTTGCGCATATCGGCCAAGGAATTTGGAGAATGTGCCGCGAAAGATGCATTCTACGCTTCCTTTCTCTCGTCGTACTTCCAGCAGATGGCCGCCTCGAACGACCCGCGTCTGCATGCGGGGCAGAAGGCGAGGAATCTGCGGAGGTTGAATTTCCTGCTGACGAAGAGGCTGCTGCTGGAGGTGTCGCCGACATCGCCGGAGCTGCTGGATTGGAAGTTCCTCGGTGACCTGAGCATCTGCTATCATTCCAGCTCTGCTTTCAGGGCCGTGATATCAGAAGTATGGGCCAGATACCAGGAGACGATAACATCCAGCCTGGACAGCGGAAAGTCAGCAATCATGAAGCAGCTCTCTGCATCAGCTTCTTTAACGGCATCTGATTTGCTTTTTCACATTCGAAGATTGACTGTTCTTGCCTCCGCACTGCCTGCCGCGGGCCATGTCCTAATGACAGGCTCCGATTTTTTAGATGCCATCTACGACGCATACAAATCCAAGGCGCATAAGAGCGACGGTGAAGCTCTTCGAAGCGCGCTCATTGCGATTGCATACGTGGGTTTGACGTCCCTGCTCAAGGGCCCCAAACCGAATCTGTCACTGCTCCTGGACCATCTGTTCACCCTGAAGGTGGCTGCAGGCGTGGATACCCCTGATGCCAAAAAGGAGCCCGTCTTGTTGTCGGACTTGGTTTGCAGTACAGACATGCTCACGCGGATGGAACGATACTTGATCAGTTTCCCCCAAAGACGAGGCCAAGATCTCGTCGCTACTCTGCGAGCATACCAGCGGGAGACAAAACCGCTTCACAATCGCTACCAGAAGCACAAGAGAAAAGACAAGGGCAAAGGACGAGCTCACGACGGAGTTGTCGAGGGAGAATTTCACGCTCACAAGATGTCTCTCATTACGCAGATCCAGGACCTCTTTCCGGACCTGGGATCTGGATACCTTGCACGATTGCTTGACTTCTACGACGACAACGTCGAGACAGTCATTGCGCATCTTCTTGATGGGTCACTACCGCCTGAACTCCAATCTCTGGACAAGTCTGAGCAGCTTCCGGATGCGCAGTTGGTTTCGCACGACGTTATGGAACCGCGTCCAACATCCCCGGAAGTCCCACCACCACCACCACCACCACTACCTTCGGAACCCACCTTCACCCGCAGAATCAATCTTGATGATGACGAAATCGTCGAAGCAGCCCGGTCCGGAGATGCAGGCCGGAAAGTGCATTTCGGACGTGCAAACGCAGAGCTGACCGCGGATGCTATGCTGGCGGACCGCAGTCAGCACGCGGCCAACAAGGCAGCAATCCTGTCTGCCCTGGCCACGTTTGATTCCGACGACGACGAGCGCGATGACACATACGACGTGGCGGACGTCGGGGGAACGGTCGATTCCGTGCCCACGGGCACCGACGCCGAAGCGGAGCAAGTCCGACGTGACCGCGCTGAAGAAACCGAAATGACGCTTTTCCGCGCCTACAAGTCGAATCCGGAACAGTTCGCGCGCAATTCGGCAACCCGTCGCTCACAGCCTCGGACGGCGCTCAAGCGGGAGACGGGCATGACCGACGAGGCAATAGAAGGATGGGCGCTGATGCTGGAGCGTGATCCTAAACGGAAATCCAGGCTGGAGGCAAAACTGGCCCTTGAGGCTGGAGGAAGAGGAGGAGGTGGTGGTGCAGGAGCTGTCGCTCAGCCAGAGCTTCCTTCAACCTCGTATCGAAGACCAAATCCCAAGGATGCGGAAGCAGACACCGAGACTACGGGAGAAGAAGAAGCCGAAGAGACCAGCGATGGAGCCGCCGCCGGCGGCAGAGGCAGAGGTGGAGGTGGAGGTCCCGCCCGTGGTCGGGGTGGCGGCGGTCGAGGACGTGGTGATGGCCGTGGTGGCCGTGGAGGCAGTCGAGGCGGTGGCCGGGGCAAAGCAAACCATCATCGACGAGATCAACATGCTAAGAAGATGGCCAGAGCTGGTGCCCTACCCGGATGACATTGCACCTTCAGCCGTCGTGACAGCTCCATCGAAAAAGCGATTTAGATAATGCACTTTCTACTCCGTATTACAGCCCGAATGAATGATTTTCAATGACCCATAGACAGAACTTGCAATTGTCATGACCATGTATGACATTTAATAGATCATAGAATCTTATAAAAAAAGTGACATCGCAAAACATAGCGGGGTTCAAAAAAATATCGTCCATCCATCCATGCAAGCAGTCGACATCAAATCTATGTACAAATTCGTCATTATTTAAATCACAACCAAGCCTTCCCGTCCGATTTGAATCCAGACTGGACCAATCTGCACCCTGACGGACGGGGAGGTTGGATTGGTCTTATATGTATAGCGCATTCGTCAAGAGATACATGGTAGATATCATGGTATCGAAGCGAGTGGCTACCGAGTAGATGAACTCAGTCATGATGATGATGATGATGGTCCGAGAATAAGGCTTGTTCAGCACATGCCTTCCTGCACTCCTCGAAGATTCGGACCTGCTTGGCCACATCCCCCAGTTTGCTAATGACTTCTTTGTTGCCGTCATAGAAGGAAAAGATCGCGTAAGGGATGTTGACTTCGCGGCAGAACTCCATGACTAACTTCTGAGTGCGGCGCAGGTTGTGTCGAGGGATACGGGGATACAGATGGTGAATAGCCTGGAACTGAAGGCCGCCATGGAAGAAGTCCAGCCAGGTAGGACAGTCCACATCCATAGTGGTGCGGAGCATCTTCTGCGGGAAGGACTCGTGGACTCCGAGATCCGCCGTCGACATGGCGAAGTGAGAAAGCGTGATTTGCACGTGCAGGGGAGCTGTGACCATGTGGGAGACGAGAAGGAAAAGAATGCGGTTGCCCCAGTCTGGGATGGATCGATAAAGCACGCCATATCCAAACCACGTCCAGAAAAATATCTGGCCGCCCAATTCGAACCAGCGGTGCCACCAAGCTGGGCCCTTCTTTGGAGCTTGGCCCAGGAGGAGATATTCCCAACTCAGCCGGTAAAGATTAAAGCGACCAAAGAGAAGGATTGGGTAGTACAGGTAGTTCTGAAATTTCAACAGGAATTGAGCTACAGCATCGAAGGTCATGACGCGGTCGTAATACGTGCTGCGGAGGTTGGTCATAAAGCGATGCGAGATTGCGAAGAATGGCATGTGTTCGATGTCCGGGTCATGCTCTGGCGCATTGGTCACAATATGGTGGACGTTGTGATTGCGCTTCCACCATCCCAAGCTGAGACCTCCCAGATAGTCTGCAATAATGATTCCGATGACCGTGTCGATATGGAAGTGGTGAGTAATGCCCATATGGCCGGCATCATGAGCCGTGAAGACGAGTTGGTGCCAGAAGCAGCCAAGAAAGAATGCAGACGTGCCATACCAACTCCAGCGGAGAAAGAGATACGAGAGCATCGCACAAAGGGTATATCGACAGCACTCGATGAAATACGCCCAGTAATTGCAGTCGTAGAGACCTTCCGCGCGGATCCGCTCGTTCAGGGCGCGGTACTTTTTCACGATGTTGTCTTGGGAGGCTGGTTCTAGCGGAGGATACTTGGCCAGGTCGAGGACGATCTCCTGCTGAGTCCGAGCATCGAGGAAGAATGGCCTTGGCTCGAATTTCTTATCTGCCGGGGGAGCCGAGGCTATGGATGACGCCGCGGTTGACGAAGAGTTCCTCCGCCGTAGACCAGTCTTTTCGTCGACGACCTCGTCGAAGACCGGCGACGATGGGCGAGTGCTTGGCTGGCTTGAACTACTATCCGACGCGGTGTCACAATCATCCTTGTTGTATGGGCGAAACTTCCCTCCTTGGATAGGCGGCAGGAAATTGGTCCATCTCCCTTCGATCCGTCCAATCTGAAACGACAGCATTCGCTGGCGGGCTTCCTCCGAGTGTAGCCTGTTCAATCGCAAAACAGAACCAACGGTCAGTCCATGTAGAGCAGGCCAGAGAGCAGAGACCGTACGCATTGATTTCATCCGTCGCATCTCGCCCGACCATATGTTTGATGGATTTATCTCCTCCAGGGTGAAACTTGATCCACGCATCTGTCTTGAGGACCCTGCCGTCGTAGATGACGATATGTCTGCCATCGGCAATCATGCCCTCGATTTCTCTCCGCGAAATAATCCGCTGTTTACGGTCCTCGACCGAGGCCGAGGCGGAGTTCTTCGACCACGTCATGCCGTGCGGTATCAAGGGATGGATCGTCCCAGTATTCTCACGCTCGGACAGACGACCAGGACCATTTGAGGGCGACTATGTGCCTGGGTATAGTCATGTAGCTGAAATGTCGCCGTGAATGCAGGAGAAGGGTTGCAGCGGTGCGGAGGGGAGGACCCGCGAGGACGGAAGACGGGCCATGCCGTGGTATGATGTCCGTACGTAAGCAGGATTTGGCAGGATAATTCCCAGGAACGTGCCCGGGCCCCTCTGCCAATCACAGCCCTGCATCCCCACCGCTGTCGCAGGCGCTTCAGCAAGCTTCGCACATGGCGCGTGGACGTCTATCGGAAGTGTTCCCAGTAATAGTCTTTGAATTGACGTACTTCTGCGGTGTATATTGCATTTGATCTCCCTTGTGGCTGCGGATTCGGCAGCTACTCTGTATTCCAACCTGCAAGAGAGTAACATCTATCTGATTCGAGGTCGAGAACGCGCCCCATATGGCCTTCCCAGAGGTCTGTCGCAGAAATCGATAACAGTCATTCAACCCCTGGTTATGATTACTTGAGTTTTGACGGTACGGTTCTAGGTACCGCTTTGGCATCTCACCAACCAATGGCTCGAGTGGGATAAGGTACCTATCTCGGATTGATGAATTGCAGCAAGAGTTCTATGAGCTCATGCTTTGAATGAAAAGGATCCGGAAACCAGGAGCGAGATAGAGAAGCTGCGTGATGCTCACGATGACGCGGAGCTCGAAAAGCGTCTTCGAAACCGTACGTGTATTCCCCGTTGTCTTGACTTGCTTGTAATCCGAATCCTCCTTCCAACTGGACTAATTCATCTACTCCAGGGATCCGGTTTGGCACCGCCGGTCTGCGTGGGAAGATGGCCGCTGGGTTTGCCAACATGAACTGCCTTACCGTGATCCAAACTTCACAAGGATTGGCCACGTATCTCAAGAAGAAATTTCCTGAACGGTGTCGGTATGGTGTCGTGATAGGAAGAGATGCACGGAAGAACTCCGAAAAGTTTGCCCGCCTTGCAGTCAATGCTTTTGTTGCACAAGGGATCAAGGTCTGGTTTTGCGCTAAAGAGTGTACGACGCCGATGATCTCCTTTGCGACAAAGGTTAAGGGAGCAGTTGCAGGGGTCATGATTACGGCCAGTCATGTAAGCCTGTCGACAGTGATACCGTATACTGACCACGATTTCTAACAAAAACTTGCAGAACCCAGCAGAAGATAATGGTTGGAAATCCCAATTCCCTCGTCTTCGTAGCTACAGCTGATGTTTTGCAGGATACAAAGTGTTAGGATCAACAAAGGCCTCCAGTCCAGTGTTATACTGCTAACTTGCTCTTTAGCTTCCTCTACAAAGGTGTTCAGGTGAACTCGCCGATCGACGCCGAGATTGCTCAATCCATCCAGGAGAATCTGTATCCTTGGCCAGGCGCTTGGGCTGACTCCAGTACGGATAATACAAATAAATTGGTGGACTGGGGTGCATACAAAGACATTGTCCTACCCTGGGGTGATGCTATTCGTCGCTATGCAGTATGGCCTCTCCGATCTCCGGCGTCCTGTTTACCTTTCTCCCAAACTAACTGTCATTGTCAAGCTTTCTACGGTAGATAAGCTGATTCCCCCGACCCCATTTATGTATACTCCCTTGCACGGGACGGGTGGGATTCCCTTACCCTACATCATGCATCAGATAGGGATAGGCACGTGGATGCTCAATGTGGACGCTCAATTCGACCCCGATCCAACATTTCGCACGGTGCGCTATCCCAATCCTGAGGAGGATGGTACACTGGATATAGCGATGTCTTGTGCGGAGAACAACGACAGGCCGCTTTTGATTGCGAACGACCCTGATGCGGATCGACTTGCAGTCGCGCAGAAAATGAGGTAAGGACGTCACCACGCCTGCTGTTGCAACTCTACGCTGATCATTGTCCAGGAGGGATTCATGGTACACGTTCACCGGAAACCAGATCGGCGTTCTGCTCGCTTCTCATATTTTCGAGGAACTCGAGTACCCTTGCAAAAAGAAAGGCTACGTGGTTCTGAGCAGCGCCGTTTCCAGTGTCATGCTGGAGAAAATGTGTGCGGCTCGTGGCATCCGCTTCCAGGAAACGCTGACGGGATTCAAGTGGATGGGGAACATTGCCAAACAGCTGGAGGAAGAAGGCTACGAAGTTCCGTTTGCCTACGAAGAGGCTCTCGGGTACATGTTTCCGAAAGTCTGCTACGACAAGGACGGTATCACGGCTGCGGCCGTCTTTCTTCTCGCAGAAGGGAAATGGCGCTCTATGAACATGACTCCGTTCGACAAGCTGGAGCAATTGTTTGGGCGATATGGCCATCACGAGACGCTCAATGGCTATTTCCGATCGCCTGATCCAGCCACCACGGCTACTCTTTTCGAGAAGATCCGCAAGGGCCCTTGGCGCAAAGGCACGAATTTTGGATCATTTAAGATCTTGAGATGGAGGGATATGACGATTGGTTACGACTCGGACACTCCCGACAACAAACCAGCGCTGCCAGTAGATGAGGGAAACCAGATGATCACACTGTGGCTGGATCGGGATGTTAAATTCACCCTCCGAGCGTCTGGGACCGAGCCCAAGGTTAAATGTAAGTTTTATTGTTTTTCCCTCGAGACCCGCAGTCTTAGCTACGGTTTGCTAAATTGATGTGATTTGTGTAGTCTATATCGAATGCTGGATAAACAACAGGGATAAGGCCATCGAAGTTGTCTGCGAGACGTTCACCACGATCCATAAGCATTGGATCCGGGCTTTCGCGCCGACAATGACTCACAAACGCGAATATCTCACCTCTTCTTCCCATCTGCATGTGGTAAAGGACGAGTAAATTTTCCTTTTCAACCAAAAAAAAGGAAGAAAATGAAAATGAAAGGGGGAAAAAAAAGGAGTAACGTAAGATTTATGAATAACGGCCACGCCGCGCCACGCCACGCCATAACTTGACAGTCACGAAGTCAATGGATGACAGGAATAATGATAGTAAATAATGCAATGTGAAAATGTCCTTAAGATACACGTTCTTGGGTGGTATGATTGGCTTCAATCTGGATCGAGTAGTTCTCGTACCGACTGCTCTGTGAATATATATATATATCTTGGCGGACCAGTCCTTCTTTTTTTTTTACTTTTGAAGGTCCTTCGCCAATTCTTATTACGTACTCTATGAGTTTCATCTCTGTGGTTTTAATTCATTTTCTGCTTGTTCTATTTCCTTGTTACCCTATGTCCATACACACATTTCTTACGCTTATTATAGTTACTATTCAGTAGCAGATTCATTGGCCAATATCTATTCTTTTCAAATATAACAGACAAAGGAAATATTATAGGATGATGCTACACAAGTCAAGGTTCAAAGACAGTGGCTAGCAGTAATACATGATGATAGATCGACGGGACTGGTGGCAGCGGCAAGTCTAGAAGTGGATCGCTTTCGAGTACGTGGCCATAGCAGCCTCCTTGAAGGCCTCTGCCAGAGTCGGGTGGGCGTGACACGTCCGGGCAACGTCCTCGCTCGAGGCGCCATACTCGACGGCCAACGTCGCCTCAGCGATCATCTCACCGGCGTTCGGCCCGATGATGTGCACACCCAGAATGCGGTCGGTCTCGGCATCAGAAATGAATTTCACCAGACCCTCGGTCTCCAGATTCGTCTTCGCACGCGAGTTGGCGCTGAAGGGGAAGGTGCCCACACGGTACTTGACGCCCGACGCCTTCACGTCCGCCTCGTTCTGGCCAACCCACGCGACCTCGGGGTGTGTGTACATGACGCTAGGGATGGCAGCATAGTTGACATGGCCGTAGCCCTTCGTGATGTATTCAATCGCAGCGACGGCCTCCTCCTCGGCCTTGTGAGCCAGCATGGGGCCGAAAGTGCAGTCACCGATCACACGGATGTGAGGCTTCTTGGTCCGGTATTCCTGGTCGATCACCAGGCGGCCCTTCTCGTCCACATCCAGACCGACGTTCTCCAATCCCAAGCCAGCAGTGTACGGGCGACGGCCAATGGCGACCAGAACAACGTCGGCGTCCAAAGTCTGCTGCTTGCCGCCCTTTGCGGCCTCGACGTTGAGAGCGATCGTCGACCCGCTGTCATCACCACTCAGAACCTTGGTGCCGGTCAGGAACTTGATGCCCTGCTTCTGGAGAATCTTCTGGGCCTGCTTGGAAATCTCTGCGTCCATGCCGGGTCCACCGATCTGGTTCAGGTACTCGACCACAGTCACTTCAGCGCCAAGACGCGACCAGACGGAAGCCTTTTGGAAGTTAGCAACTTGACCAGAGAGATTCAACGGCTACAGGAACAATTGCATACCATTTCCAGACCGATGATACCACCACCAATGACAACCATCTTCTTCGGCACCTCCTTCAGGGACAGAGCACCAGTGCTGGTGACAATTCTCTCCTCGTCAATCTTCAGACCCGGGAATGGAGTAGCCTCACTTCCGGTGGCGATGATGATGTTCTTTCCCTTCAAGGTCGTCTCACCGCCGTCCAGCAGGTTCACCTTAATCTCGTGGTCGTTGATAAAGGAACCAGTTCCCTTGATGTAATCCACACCGTTCTTCTTGAACAAAAACTCGATACCCTTGGTGAGACTCTCCACAGAAGCATCTTTTGCCTTCATCATCTGTGCCAGATTGAGTTTCACGTCGCCAACTTCGATACCGCGCTTCTGGGTATCATGGAGGATCTGATGGTAGAGATGCGAGTTGTTCAAGAGCGATTTCGAAGGAATGCATCCGACGTTGAGGCAAGTTCCGCCGAGAGTGCCTCGCTTCTCGATACAGGCGGTCTACAATAATCACAACCGTAAGCACTGGTCGATGGTCTTTTCTGCGATCAGTTCCAGGCATAAAGGATTCCTCACCTTCAGACCTTCTTGCCCGGCCTTGATCGCAGCAACATATCCTGCGACACCACCGCCTATTATAACAACGTCGTGCTCTGTTTCACATTTATCCACAGATTTAGTTTTTTTTTTCCCCTTCCCTTTTTTTTTTCCCGCCGCGGCAGGGGCAATGCTTAAGAAACCGGACCAATTGAAACGGGCTAGTACGCACCAGTCGACGACGCATATCCTCGTTTTGAGCGTCCCAGGAAAGCAAGAGACGGGGCAGGGACGAAGTTCGAAGGGACGACCTGGGGTGTGGCGGTGCGGAGGACAGTCCGCGGCGTCGCTCGCGGCAGCAGAGACCGGAACATGACGCAGGAGGGTTATAGACCAGAAAGGACAGGAAAAGAGATATAGGGTGGAGCAATGGATCCTCCGTAGATACAAAAACACGAAGGAAAGGTACAATTGGGGGAGGTGGAGGGGTGAGGAGAGGAATAGCACAGTGTTGGGGCAGAGTCGAGCAGCCTTGGGAGATGAAGTTGACGTTGAACTTGCAGCAAAAGCTACCCGTATTGTCCCGTATTGTCACCCGCGTATATAACCCGCCCATCCACCAATCAGCGGGCCCAGAGCAGATCGGCTTGTATCGGCTCTTACTCCATACAGATTTCCATTTACCAGCCGTGCAACAACGAATACGGAAGATCGGCTGTACGGATATCAGCGGTCGGGATTCCACGGGTGAGGAATCTGGGGTTCTTAACCTCTGAACAAGCCGTGATGTTGCAAGATATACAGAAATAAATAATAATCAATGGCATTGTGATTCTGCATGAGGCTCACCACAGGCATAGCTGCTCAGTTTACTCTGGAGTCAGGTTGTGGAAAATGCCTCATAGAACTGGAGTTTCGCTGACAATGGACACTATCAAGTTCGGATGACCTCCAGGCCGTGATAAACAGGAAGAAGACCGCAATCCGCGTTGAGGACGTTCCCAGTCAATTCAATGCCATGCATGTTCATTGGGACAGCAAAGACATTGAGCAAAAGACGAAACTGGTCATATACCAGATAATTCCAAAATGTGCAGCCCCCTCAACATAAGAATGCCGGGCTCATGGTCATTCATGGAACCATTCCCACATGCATTGTTGTGTGATTTAGACTGCATGTGTGAGAAAGCAAAGAAGGAACATAACTCCAAGTTTGGAAAGAAGAGCATCATAGAATATCAAAGTGGTGGACAGCACAGAGGCTCAAGTTAGCACATTGAGCAGGTAACCAGAGATTCATGCGCTGCTGCACGTCAAACTAATTAGAGAGAGCAAGAATTCCATCAAGACGCCGTGTGTTGAATGCAAAATCAAGCAAGGGACTCACTATCATTGCAGACAGACTTTGTTGAAGAAAGGATAACCAAATGGAATGACGGTTAACCCAAAAGGAGAGGAGGAATTCTGCTGACAAAACGCTGAGAAGCGATAACCTGTAAATATCAGGGTGTTAAAACCGGAAGATAGGCGGAAGCGCCTGGGAAGAATAGGAAAAGAGGAAAAGGAGAAAAAAAGAAGAAATGACATGACAGATATAAAGAGAGAAGAAAAAAAGAAGAGAGAGAGAGGAAACAGAGCACCACTGTCGGTCCGCAGAGCTGCCTTCTGAATTTCGAATTCGAGGAAACGGTTCCCTACCGAGATAGCTCAATTTACCCGATGTCATTCCCTTTGTGAAGTGAGCTGGACTGACTGCTGTTTCGACCGATCCAGATTTCCTTGTCTCCACATACTGGTGCATGAAGGAAGCCAGTAAATAGCAAGCACGATGCCCGCTACATAAGTGGCCGGGACCTGTTTTGGCGTGTGGTAATTCAAATATCCCCGACTGACGGAAATAGTGCGCGCACCAAGGCAAGCAAGAATCGATAAGGCAACCCATTCCAAAAGGTCGATATCGTGAGGTTGAGGGTTGTCGAAGGAGCAGGAAGAGAACGATATAGAGGGGCCGCCATAGTCGATTTTCTGACAGGATATCCGCGGGTCTGTCTATGTCAATATCATGCTGATAACTACTCCAGCTATTTGTGAATTCTCAAGAATCCTCAAATTCCGGAGTTGAGTGTTCGATAAGCGAGGAACTTCATCATTTCAGTGGAAGCAATGATGGCGAGGACAGCGAATAATGTAACACCTGCTAGGACAGATGAGCGAGCAGTTTGAATAAGTTCGATAGCTTAATGATTTTCGAAGTCTCCCTCGAGGCAATGTCTTGATTCTGGGGATTCAGGAAAGCATCAGTAGGTTATCATTCAATTCAATCCGGAGAAAACAAAGAGGACAGTGTGTCGAAGGCGACGAATTGAGCAGTGGAGAAAGGACAAAATAGATATGAGAAAAGAATTGGCCGGATCTGTCCATATGGACGTAGAACTCGTTATCGCTGGACAAGATACCAAATCCGTCTGGTGCCATAACGCCGTCACTGGTCTACTTCCATTCGCTCCAAGACGGTAGATCTGGTTTGCTCTTGCTGTAGAGAAAATAATCTGAAGTTTTGATTATAGAGACACTGGACCTGTGCAAGAAATTATTAATGTCTTATCTGCCGAATTGTGCCACCTCGTCAAGGCTTTATCACATTCACTGTATTTGGGCCATATCGATCGCATCGTGGGTTTGAGGAGCGATATGTTTTTCTAGTTGGACAACAGCCTTGGAAGCAATTCTGGAGAAGAACTGGAGGGTTGCCCAATGACGGTATGCCGAGAGCAGGCAGGCAGTTGATCCAGCGGGCAGGTTTGCCGGGGCCCCCGGCCCCCGGGCCGGTCCCTTGAGGGCGAACCGACTGCAGAGCACTGACAAGGCCCCTTGATCTAGGCAATTCCGGAGTTCTCTTCTCCGGGTTCTCCCCGTGGAGATCCCGCAACAGGCAATGTTCTCGTCAATCGGCTCTTCTTGATGCGCCCTCTGTTGGAGTTCGTATTGCACTGAGCCACTGACGAGACGCGATGCACACGGACCGACCGAGACCGGAAAAAGATTCCTTTGCGACCCAATGTCTCGCAGAAGTTTCAGGCACCTGGCGGGGCATCCATCCAGACACAATAATGGACGAGATGATCTTTTCTCCGACACAGTCACACAAAACCGTTAAGCGACAACCTTCTTTGCTCGTTCTGTCCACTCGATGTTCGGGGAGCGCCGTGTCACGTGTGCACTTTCGGGGTTACTCCGCCCATGCCTTCGGATTACCTGCCAGATTAGACCTTCCCTCACAGGCAAATGATGGACATCACATCGCCAACCTTGTGCGGAGGAAACGCATGGCTAATCGACCAGTCAGTGGCAGTCTCTAACGTGGATTCGGACCACCGGTCCGACTAATTTAGTTGCTGACAGGGCCGACATGCGACATGCAGAGGTTGATCTCTCGCCAAGCCGCTTGGTCTTCAAGAAAACGCATTGCCAATTGGAGTGTTCCGCCGGATTCCTTCCTTATTTGCATGACGAAATCGAAAGGATCGATTACCAGTCCTCTGCGTTGCGCAGAGGCCTGGATCGTCCAACCTGACTGGCTGCAGCCAATCCTGGGGACTCCATCTGGGGATGCTTTGAGCCTGTGGTACAGGGCCGAGTCAGACTCTATGCTTACCTAGGGGGTTATCTGCCCAGATGAAAAACCCGCGTGGCGGGATGCATATAAGCCTGTCCCTTGTCCTTGATGGGACCTGAGGCGCTTTTTCTCGAACACCATCTTTCCTTGTCGACAGGGTAATGTATGTACAGTACATTGGTGCGCACAGCGGACCCTACCCAACATGAGCGATAAGATCCACTCATGGAATGTCGTCCACAAGCTCGAGAAGCGAAAGCTTCTCGTTGCTATTAATTCTGTGGCCGCTCTGTCGATCCTATTCTTCGGGTACGACCAAGGTAAGGAGATGTCGTAATGTTTTCCTTCTCTCGTGCTCTCTGTCTAGACTTCTTTGTTTGACTCGGGGCTGACGCGCGTACAACCAGGTTTAATGGGTGGTGTTAACAATGCAAAGAATTACATCGACCTGATGGGGTTCGGTTATACCGAGACAGTGGACGGAACCCCCAACACCCCGGTGGTGACGAACAGCCTGCTCCAGGGAGGCATTGTCTCCGTCTACTATTTGGGAACACTGTTCGGAGCGTTGTTTGGTGGCTGGCTCGGTGATCGCATTGGCCGGATCAAGGCGATTGCTGCTGGAGCACTCTGGGCCATCCTGGGGGCCTCCCTCCAGTGCTCAGCTCAGAACCACGACTGGATGATATGCGGTGAGTGAGGGATACGCAAAATTATTGGCACCAGAAGTCTGCTGACATCATCAGCACGTTTAATCAACGGCATTGGGACTGGTATTCTAAATGCCATCATCCCGGTGTGGGCAACGGAAACGAGTGTACGTATATGTTCCTATATATGCAGCCGTCGGGTATTTCTCTCCCGAATACTGATTTCACATAGGAACACACATCACGAGGTCAATTTATTGCCATCGAGTTTACCCTGAACATCTTTGGTGTCGTCATTGCGTACTGGATGGAATTGTACGTATTGTGCAAAGTCTTCTCTGATCAAAAGAGAACGATAGTGCTAATTGTGTCGCAGTGGTCTGTCTTTCGTGGATGGAGGTGTTTCTGCCATTCGCTGGAGATTCCCCATCGCGTTCCAGATCATCCTCCTCCTCTTGCTATTTGCCGTTGTGTGGTTCTTCCCAGAATCCCCTCGTTGGCTGGTCAAGGTGGGCCGGGAGGAAGAAGCTCGATACATCTTGGGTTGCCTTCGTGGCAACGAAGGGGAAGATCGAGTTCGGGCCGATTCCGAGTTCCGGGATATCCTGAATATTGCAGAGTTGGAGAAGTCAATCTCCCACAACCATTCCTACCTGGCCATGCTGTTTGGTTACAAGTCGGGAAAGCTGCATCTTGGTCGCCGGGTACAGCTTGTGATTTGGCTGCAGATCATGCAGGAATGGGTCGGTATTGCTGGTGTTACAATTTGTAAGCTCCCTTTCTCTGGACAATGAACTTGTCAAGCGCTAACTGCATGGATAGATGCACCCACCATTTTCCGCATTGCAGGATTTAACGCTGTGAAGAGTCAGTGGATTAGTGGATTGAACAATATTTTCTATATGGTACGAAGAGCGTAGAAGATTTCATATGGAGAGAAGTTTCTTTGCTGACTGCGATTTAGTTTGCCACTCTGATCTGCGTCTTTACTCTTGATCGCATTGGCCGTAGATGGACTCTTTACTGGGGGTCCGTAGCACAAGGCATTGCCATGTTCCTTGCAGGTGGCTTCTCTCGCCTTGGCATTAATGCTACTGAAGCGGGTGACACGGCCAAGGCGTCACAGTATGGAGCTGCTGCTGCTTCCATGGTCTTTATCTTTACTTCAGTTTTCGGTGCCACGTGGTTGACAGTACCTTGGCTGTACCCTGCCGAAATCTTCCCTCTGGCGGTTCGTGCGCGAGGCAATGCCTGGGGTGTCGTGGGTTGGAGTATTGGAAATGGCTGGCTGGTAAGTCCTCGCTGATCAGGCAGCGTTGATAGGGGACATGATCTAACGACAACACTTAGACGCTTCTGTGCCCAGTCATGTTCGGAGCGATTGGCGAGAAGACCCTCTACATATTCGGCATTGCCAACGCCATTACCATCCCCATGGTCTGGGCCTTGTACCCGGAGAGTAACCAGCGGACGCTGGAGGATATGGATCTGCTATTCGCGGCGGATTCCGTGTGGAACTGGGACGCGGAACGCACGTTTGCTCGGCTGAAAGCCGAGAACCCAGATCTCGTCCAGGGGGGCAGTCGCAAGAACAGCGTCGTGGACCCTGAGACGGGCAAGCCGTTGCGTGGAGACGCGCCGATGACTTTGGAGACGGCAGAGGAGAAGACCTCGGCCAGACATAACGAGTCATGATAGGATATACCCAATTTTGTTGTGGGGAATGGAATACAATGGTTAGGAATGGGATGGGTCGCAAAAGTACTTTGTTTCCAGTATCGGACCGGCAATGATTATGTGAAGCATGGTCGGGACGATTTTAAAAAAGTTTACTTGACTGGAAAGTTGGAAACGCAGGATAGTTTTCAACTGTATAGACACATATAGTTAGCGACAAGCCATAGGTAATATGTCCATGAATGCGAATACCGAAATCAAGCGAAAGCCTCTAGCCTATGCGACTAACGTTTGGCTGAGACTGGCAATACAACTACAACATGTTGTACTCTAAATATACATTTGTACTGTACATACCTAGTCGAAGACGACAAAAAAACGTGAAACTATCCAATTACGCAACAGGACAACAGAATAAATTAATCAATCAGATGTGTATCCATCAACTAACTACATGTAATTGGTCACATTGATAGCATCCAAGGTTGGGTGAGGTTAGAATCCATCCATGGTTAGAATAGGTTAGACCCGGCCAGACAGATGAGAATTTGCGGCTTTCCGATTGGTCAATTCGAGCGCAACAAACACCGTGGACCCCTGGAGGTGGCGTGGAGGGGAAACTACTCCAGAGTATATCTATACTCCGTACTTAATAACTTTAATAACCTTAAAAGAACGAAACATTTCCACAGCGATAGAAAAGAGGGAGCTCTTTCTTTGCATTGACTACCTATTTCAAAGAGTCTGTTCAATTTCATTGGAATTCGTGCAATTTCATTCAATTCAAAGAATCTATTCCTTTCTTGGTTGGAAGATTCAGTGGTAGTGATCGTCAATTGTGTCCTGCTACTACCGTTCGTCGCCAGGTTTTTGAACCATCAGTGCTCAGCCGATATTCAATATAACCAGCATAGAATCTATATCATTTAGACTGTGGGCATTGGAATATCTCCGGAGGAGGTGGGTGAAAAAAAAAAGGATTGAAGACATTGGTTACGGCTGTTACTACGCGATATCAGAAGGGCATCAGCTCACCAACACCAATCAGCCCTGAGAAATCTCTTATTCCTCAACCGAATATGGCTTCATCTTCTACCTCTGTGGCCAGGACGACGAATACACGGCAAAAACAACGCCAGAAATCAGCAGCAGAAGCAGAATCAAAGCCAACGCCAACACCAACACCAACACTACATCCCTCCCTCGATCGCACCCTAGTCAAGAAATCCCTCTCGCGGATCGCCACCCATCCCACACTGACCCCCTTCCGCCGCCGCGTCTATCGCACCTTGCTCTCCGTGCCGCCGGGACGCTGGACGACCTACGCCAGCCTCTCCGCCTACCTGGGTTCTGGGCCGCGAGCGATCGGCAACGCGATGCGGACGAACCCGTTCGCGCCGGCGGTGCCGTGTCACCGGGTGCTGGCGACGGACCGCACGCTGGGCGGGTACAAGGGGGCGTGGAACAACGGGGGCGAGTACTCGGTCGAAAAGCGGCGGTTGCTGGTGGAGGAAGGGGTCGAGTTTGACGAGAAGGGGAGAGCGAGGGGGGAGTGTTTCACCGAGTTTGTGGATTTGGATCTGGGGATGATGAAGGATTGACGGATCGATCGATCGATCGATTAATTATCCAGATGGTGTCTCACCTTCTGTTCTTGGACAAAACCTTTTTCTTTTCATATTGACGATGGTGATACGAAGAAGAAGAAGGGAAAAAAAGATTTTCCCAACTAATAGGCGCCTTCCAGTACCTCCATCTGGTTTGACCTGACCCATTAGCTGGGGCCTTTCAATAGGAAAGCTAGCGAGATGACCGGGAGGCATACCTGGATGGGTACCTGCTGCAGGCAGACAGCCACCTTTACCGCTAGACTAACGACCCTGAAGGGACGCTGACTGTTCCTTTTTGACCGTATATAACCCCCCTGAGAGGGAGGAGCAAGGTCGTCTGTTCGACTCGGGCTGTTAGCTTGCACGCCAGGCCAGGCTTTTCTTTTTTCCCTCCATCTCTCTGCCTCTCTGCCTTTGTTTTGTTTGTTTTCGTCTTCTCAGATGAGTCATCTATTGCTTTCACGAGCTGTAGTATAACGAACGACCTGGCTGGTCTGAATTTGAGATTCCACACACGCGTACACGAAGCTGTCACTTTCTACACTACTGTCAGGCCAGAGATCACGATGTCGAGAAGATCAGCGCGTGTATCTACCAAACTTTATTCACTGAGTCTATCCAAAAGATAAGACTATACCAGCCTTACTTTGACGTTTCTATTTTCAGTACGCATAAACATAGAAACGGTCCTGAAGCCATGGGGCTGCCACAACTAAATTCGGCGAAATGAATCTCATTGGCAACTATATAACTAGACTTCGAAGCTAGAGTGAGGCAGGAGAGGAAAACAGTGGGAGGAGGCGTTTGATAGAGTAGCCTGGCCAGGCACCTGACGCGAACCTTCCTAATTTGGTAGGTACCAATGGTAGGTACTTATGGTCTCCACGGGTCCACGTGCAAGAACTGTACTCACCCTTCCAAGAGAAGGGGAAAATGGAAATAAAATGATACTAATAATATATATAATAAATACAAAATCCTTCATTCTCTCCCTTGAAAGGGGAAAAATTGATTCACGTTGGAGGACATGTTGCCAACCAAGTAAGAAGTGCGTGCCTTGACACGGCTTTTTGCCTGAGTCTGCAACATTTTTTGCGGGGGATCTGCATATCATCCTGGCAGCCTGTGGCTTGTTCTCAGCTGTCTTCACCCTGATGTCATTAGCCCGCGCATCGTGGGCCTCCGGAGCTGCTTGGGAACGAAATCAGTCTCCAAGCACGTCCAACATCTCATCTGTTGTACTTCTTTTCTTCCAGTGGAGTATGTGTACGCTCACTGTCGCTATTTCTGCGCCATCCGTTCGTCGATGGATAGCAGAGTCAATTCTTGGACATCGTTGGGTCAATCTTTGAGGCTTGGGCGTTGTTATCGATTGAAACTTTCTGGCTCATTGAAGTCCGCATAGCTTCTATGTCCCGCTGGCGATGGCGGGGAAGCTCGAAAATACCCAGGAGAAGTGGATCATTTGATGGGCCAACCTTGTCGTCCCACGACAGGTATTGTCGACAAGAGGATAGAAAAGAGAAATTCGTCTGGATCCATGCAGGAACAATTGTAGGAGCACTAATCAAGGCTCAATCTCAATGTTCATGATGGTATTAGACAAGAATCGAGGAATGCAGATGATGCAGATGGAGATTCACAAGCACCTATATATACCAAATGAGCAATTGAGTTGAAGAACAGGTAGTGTTTTTTTAAAAAAAAAAGAAGAAAGAAGTTGTCTTGGGGAATAATGGCGCAAAACCCTTACCAGAATGACAGTTCAAAGAGAATAAATATATCGTAGCCGATCAATATGGATGTCCCAGGATGGGCATCCTTCGAGGTATTTCTTTGCCAGGGTGTTTCTCAGTGGTATTTACCTAGTAAGAATTTACCATATCTTGCACGAGTTCCGGTCCATTGTAAATAAAGTGGTGCATGAGATCCTGGCGTTTCTGTGTCGACAGGTCTGCATGGGAGAGGCAAGGCTTTTATAGGTGGATTGGCGAGACTGCCAGATAGCAGCCACTTGTCATATATATATAAGTGTAGAACGTTTGGTAAAGGATGAAGACGACGAGCAAGATGGGGGATGAGGGGATTATATAGACAATAAGGTAGTAGTATAGTGAATGAAAGAGGCAGTACCAGCCTGGCAGCTACATGACTTCACTGCCTCTGAACAATATAGTATCAGCAATGACTATTAACTTCTGATGAGATGTAGTGAATTAACTATTGATTCACTAGGATCTAATATCTTAGGGAGAACTCTGGAACGGGTAATATTGTAAGGACTTCTACTAACTCAGCTCTAGTCACGGCAATAAAATCTAATGAAATCTTCCGGGAAGATCACCAACCAAAAGAGAAAGATAGTGTAATATGCCATCACTTCATAAGGTAGGGAGTCTCTCAGTCTCTTCGACTTCGAGTCTCAGAGAAAAATACCTCATATCTGGTCTTTACGTGGGACTTTTGGCCCCCCACCCAGATCTACCCACTACTATGTCAAGTTCTTTTTATCTTTCAGCTAGGTAAGGCTGTTTTTAAGAAACAAATAAAGTTTCTCTCGCTATATGAGACATTTTGTTAGATATTCAGTACAAAGAAATTATGTAAACTTTAGACAGATAGATAGATTCAAATCCTTCAATCTTTTGTAAGCGTATGTATGTACTAGCTAGGTCGTTCAGTATTATATGACATACATATGTAGCCTGTTCTTTTAATAGACAAAGCAAAATGTAATTAATGCACTCTATACCATTACTGCATGCCCAACTATGCACGTGAAGAGGAAGAAAGCGGTTACTTAATTTAGGTACCTTACCTGTGGGTACGTGTTCCCGTGAACATGAAGACTTTGGTTGGTCTGCGGCTGGAGTTCTGCCGTAGCTAATTAAAGCAATGATGCCATGTATATGACATCACATGAATCTCGAATTGACAAATGTCCATTGTCCATACGGCAGGGCTTACGTTCATTGAATCTGAAATGTTGGCAATAATCTACATGGAAAAAAGACATAAAAATAGTAACAGAGGTATTCGAGGTATTCAGATAAAGTACAGTACATGTACATACACTACATACAGACCCCGATCGCCATGCATTATCCCATGCCATGCGTAACGATTTCATCACATAACCCATGAAGACTAATCCGTGCCAGTAATCGTGTATCGAGGCAGGAAAAAGAAAAAAAAAGGAAAAAGAAACAAAAAGAAACGCTCAGGTAAAAAAAAAGGTCGACAGCTTGTACTGTCTGCCAGAGATATCGACCCTTCTCAAGTATACACCCAGACTCAAGCGTCCTCTACAATAGACCCCAACATGAAACAAAACAAAACGATACAACAAGCATTAGAAACAGAAATTAAGGGGGTAATAAGGGGGAAAAGCAAAATTAATAAAGAGAGAAAAGGGGGGGGGGGAAAGAAAAGAAAATCATCCCATACCGCTAAAGCTCTGGTAACCGGCCCAAAACCAAACACAGGTAGAAAGCAAATCGTCATCAGTGCGGTTGCGTCATATCTGGACCAGGCTGTGTCAAGTCCGTATCGGTCGTCAAGATTCGTAGCATACCGCCAGTATCACGTCACATCATCAAGCCCTCTTCGTCTATGATGGGAGATCGGCAACCTTTGATGGCCCTTCTCTTTGCTATGGCCCGCTTTGGAATGTCCATGTGATGGTAGGACCGTAGATGCTCGGTAAGGTGGTCTTTGCGTGGGAAGCCATTCTTGCCCTTCCGAGGGCAGTGATCTACCGGGCAATCCTCCAGCACGGGGAAGTGCACGCTGCTTTGATGGCGTTTCACATCAGCTACCCGGGTGAAGGCCTTCCCGCAATTGTTGCACGTAAAGGGTTTTGCTGGCCTGAGAGGGGGAGAGAGAGAAACTGGGCGTTAGCCTAGTGCCACATGTAAGCTGTGAAGAATGCAGGCTACTTACTTCTCAAGCTCGGTATGAGGATGATGACGACCCGGTTTCGGGTAAGTAGACGGGGCTACCACCTCGTCGCCATGCGGCACTGAACGAATTTGCATACCATACCCGGTGTTTGGCTTGGGCACGGGTATCCCATAAGACTGAGTAGGCTCCGTGTAGTCGATGGGAGCACCGTCATGCCAACTTTGCTCTAGAGGGAGCGAGGTTCCAAGGTCGTCGATCTGTTCGGACGACTGATACCCGAGACTCATGCTGGAGTCAACCGACGACGAGTAGAGGCGTGCATATTCGTTGGAGTACATTTCGAATTCGTCGGGGTACATTCCGCAGAAGGAGCGCTGCGCCGAGTCGTTGCTAGTGGAAGAGTACGAGTAGCTCATCGGCTGGCTAAAGTCCAAGAAGGCGTCCTGAATCAAGCCAGCTGTCAGCCGAAAATCTCGCATCTCGCAGATTTGGTTCGAAGCAATTACCATGATGCCACAGGCTGACAGAGAGCCACTGCGCGGTCAGATTTGCGCGCAGAGGGGTGGAGAGAGCGAAAGAGTGGAGAGTGGAGAGGACAGCGTCCAAGTTCGCAGGCGATACAGACAGAGAGACGGGGTGCAGATTATCCTGTACGGGGAAGTCTGCACTTTTCCCTCACGGGCGATCGAGACATTTAAGTA